TATAGAATATTTAAGCTTTTACCTTTAAAAGAATTAATAATAAAAAAAACTTAAAATAATATTTTTATTATAATCAACTAATTAATAAAAATAAGCTATTTTATTTTAGCTAAAGAAAGTAGTATAGCTAAAAATCTAGTATATTAGTTTTAAAAATATATTTATATTAATTATAAATTACTAAATAAAATTATTTTAAATAAAGGAATAATATTTATTTTAAAATTTTAATAATTACTTATAGCTAGACTTAAACTAAATTATAAAATTAGCACTACTTATTACTTATAAATAAATAAATAAATAAAGAGGATTAATTAAATTATTAAAATATATCTTTATTACTATATTAACTTTAAATAAAATAACTAGGTTAAATACTTACTAATAGTATAAATCTTATATAATAATATACTAATAAAATTAATAAGAAAATTACTATTTTATATAAATTATAAATTTAAACTAAAAGCTTTTTAACTACTACTATAAGGTAAAAATATAAAAAAAGTAATTATTATAGTAAATTAAATAAAAAAACTATATAATAAATTATAATTATAGCTTAAATTTATATAATAAAAAATAATTAAATATATAAATTAAAAAAGAATTAAAGAACTAATTTTTTAAAAAGGAGATATAGTTTACTTACTTTAATATACTTAAAATAATAAATAAGTAAATATTAAAATAAATAGGTTAAGTAATAAGCTTAATTTTAAAAAACTTAAACCTTATAAAGTTTTAAAATAAATTAAAGAAGTTAATTATAAACTTAATCTCTTAGTATAAGAAGGATAATAAGCATAATTAATATACCTAATTTTTTATATATTACTACTTAAAAAAGCAGTAGTTAATTTAAATATAAGTAAAATTATTTATAATAAAATTATAATAAAAGGTAAAAAACTTAAATATAAAGTTAAATAAATACTTTAAATTAAATTTAATAAAAATACTTAATAGCTAAAATACTTTATAAAATAAAAAAATTATAATAATACTAATAATATATAAAAACCTATTAAAAATCTTAAACACTTAAAAACCTTAATTAATAAGTTTTATTAATAATTAAACTTATAAAGGTTAATAGTAAGGGATTTAATAAAAACTAATCTTAATTAATAAGGTTAATAAAAGAAACTAGAATATTAAAATTAGTTAAGTTAAGTATAGATATTTCTGCTTAATAAATAGCTGCTGCTGCTTTATACTCTGCCTTTTTTATATATTTTAACTTTTTTAAATTATTAATTTTATAAGTAATAGCCCTTTATATTTTTTTAGCTTATTCTTTCTTTTATATATAAAGATATTTAATATATACACCTGCTTTAAGCTAGGCTTTTTTAGCCTGCTTTAGCTTAAAATTAAAATTAGCACTTTTATTAATTATATAATAAAGTTAAAATATAAATAGACTAAAAGCCTTATAGCTAGGCTGCTAAAAATAAATATAACTTAAATAATAAAAAGAATTAGCTTTTAATATAAAATATTAGTAACTATATTTCTTATAGTATTAGCAGAGTTTTATAATTAATAGCTTAAGTAAAATTAACTGCTTTAAAGCATACTGCTAAAGTACTTAAAAAAACTTAAAATATTTATACTTACTGCTAACTATTCTAGTTAATATATAAAGAAAAGGATATATAAATAAGAAATACTTATAAAAAAGTAAAAGAATTATAGGTTTTAATAATATAAATAAGGTTTTAAAAATAAAATTAATAAAAAGGGGATATTATATTATAACCTAGCTTTATAATTATAATAATAAGCTACCTTTAATAAGCAGCACTAAATAAATATTAAACTATTTATTTAATTAAAAGCTACTTAATAAAATTAACTATTAAGTATATTAAGAATAACTTAATAAACTTAATAATTAAGTATATTAAGGATATTAAGATAATTAAATATATAAGTTATATTTATATTACTTATTTAAATAGTTTAAATAGCTAGTTATTATTACTTTATAGTATTTATAATATAAATAAATTAAAACCTAAATATTTACTATAAAAGTATATTAACTAGCTGCATAATTAAACATGCCTTAAGTATTAACCTAACCCTCTGCTAGTATAAACCTAAATAGCTCCCTTATTTAAGCTATTTACTTAAATAGTTTACCCTTTAGGAAATAGTATTTTTACTAACTATAGGAACCTGGTTTATTATAATAAAGTTAATATAAAACTTAATAATAGCATTCTCTAACTTTTATTAATAATTAAGATAATTAATAATTAGGTTATATAAGCGCTAGATATACTAATTATTTAATACACCTGCTTATATAACCTATATAATAATATAAATAATTATATTAATAACCTTAATATAAAGGTAGTACCTAGCTTAAACTAGATTATATATTATTTTTATTAATTCTTAATAAAAGTTATACCTGCCTTAACTTATATTACTAATATTTTAGCCTTAAAAAAAGCTGCCCTCTTACTAATTTTTAGTAATAATAATATAAGTAATAATTACCTTTAAGAATAGAGGTTATCTTTCCTTTATAAGGGCAATTATCTTAATAATAATTATTAATAAGGAGATGCTGCTTAATTATACACTAGGCGTTACTCTTCTTAATGCCTGTAGTTTAGTTTAGTTAAGAATTAAGCTTTTTTCTACACACTCTCGCGTCTTATTATAATAATAAGTCTTAAGACAGTTAAAGTTAATAAAGTCTTAGTGTTATAGTATAGACTGCAGGATATGCTATAAGCTCATACTGTAAATAGGTATGCGGTCGTGGGATTAGTGGTATAGGCGTAATAATTTTAGTATAAGCATAGACGACTATGGTTTAAATAGGAATATGCTACAGTTTAAATAGGATTACTCTTTTAGAGACTCGAACATACCTCCAGGCTGAATGTTAAAAAATCTTTCTGGTATACAACGGCGATCATTGCATGTAACTAACAGCTGTACTCGTGTGAATGAGAGTGCATATGGTCATATGCAAAGACGACCTAAGAGGACCGGCAACGATGTAAGCCCCTACTGATGAGAGCCGGATTCTTTCCATAGCCCGGCTCAGTATGATGGAGTGATGGATAATAATTCTCTGCCACTTCTTTAAGAAGACCATCAAGACTCCTAAAATTGTGGTTGTCCAGTAGAGAGCTAGGAGAACGGCATACTTGTTACACTCCAGTAGGTCGTCAACTGTAGGCGTCGGTTCCATGGGGCAAAGGCAACTTCCGTATGGGGATGATGATACTGCACAACCGACTGCAAGCCCGACAATCTCTGTCATCTAATGACTCTGAACCTGCGGCCATAACCTTAATCTCAAGACCGGGGCACTTTATAGTGCTACCCGGCTCACGTCGACTGACGAGCTATGAAAATGAACTGCTGACTATAAAAAGACTTGAGTCTATGTTATCACAGGAAATTTGTAATTGGGACTGTGTCCTTGTAAGCAGTTCCAAATTAGTTACGACTTGTGATGATAAATACAGGAAAGTGTGGAAAAGCCGTCGCAGGAAGAATCAATTGCCCTTAAGCGGAATGGTCATGCCCGTCAGCTGTACATGAATGCTTCGCAGACCAGCTTTGCCAACGCTCACATGGGAGAAAGACGAGCGTACGATAATGGGCAGTTGACAACATGTCTATACTTAGAGGGCTTTGTATAAGGTGGTATCATGGATGAATGTGTATATTGATTGTAAACTAGCTCTCTATGTAAGTTACACACACACGGTTACCGCCGACAAGAAGAATGAGTGCTGTAGTCTAGTTGCTGATATTGTCAGTCAAGGTAAGTTATGTAAAGCTAACCAAGCGAGTATATACCCTCCAAATATAAGAGCTTTGGACATCGGCGTGATTAAGATTGAGAGCAATACCCCGACATTCCGAGAATCACAAATTTATCTTATCCACCAGCCATTAAGATATATCAGAATCGACGTAATCAAGAGACGCAAAAGAGCCACGGGCAGCTGCACAATGCAGGCAAAGTGCTCCAACATGTCCCAACAGAGACCTTTGACGCTCCCCAGCGCCAGGTATTAGACTGTTAAGTCACGCTTCCAACTTTCTATACATATGAATCATATCAGTTATTTGAAATCAGCTAATGCCGGCGTATGGATGGACTTTTGAGGAATACAGTAATTTATCTCGGACACCTGATAGAATTCGGGACAGTAGCATGGGTCATGATTAACAATTGCTCTGAACGTTGGGTTTGGGCGCTTCCATCAACTGGCCGAATCGGGATAGGGAGAAAAGGAACTGCTTTGACGCGGACTAGTGGACACTCCAATGGAAGCTATACGTATGGCGCTCGTTGTGGTGTTTGTAGATGAAGTATCTCATGCTGGCGTTTATAAGTAGATGATGCCACCTGTTCGAGATGAGAAACATTAGAATTTGTCGACTTCATTTGGTTTTGCTTGCAATATCCCTCAAACCGCGATATAGTAGAGAAATCATACTTGCGCCTAGAGTTGCCTATTTTAGTAAGCCCCCCTTCTTCGCCTCTTAGCCAGTCCTTGCTCATCTTTCACCTCCTCACATGAACAAACATATTGACGCGAGGCCAAGATTCATTGTTCATGAGGTCTAAATTCACTTTGCAATGAACTCTCCCTGGCTTTCTCCTAGGAGTACAGCAGACGGATCTGGATATGCAGGTGAGGAATCACTTCCTGCCACCACCTCGCCCGACTACGCGCTCTCGACCCAAGACTTTTCAACTCCCTCAACAGGCTGGCAGCTGGACGACTTTGTGCTCGATCCGGGCTATGTCGCATCTCGAGAGGAGCTGCGCTGGCTGATGCTCAATACTGCGCAAACTGCCCCGTCTTCTCCAGCTCATGTCGATAGCTTTGCCTCCGAAGCAGACCAACAGGGCGGCGAGACTCTGTCTTCAGCACAGCACCAAAGTTCTCATTTACTATCACAGGGTCGACGGGTCGAGTATTTCAAGAACTATATCAGCCAAGTTGCGCCATGGGTATGTTTACCAAAAGCCAATTGTTGATTTAGAGAGTTTGCTCATTCCAGCAGCTTGACATGTTTGACAGCTCTCGTGCCTTCGGGATACAAGTCCCTCTGCTAGCACAAACATCTCCAGCTCTCCTCTGCGCGATCCTAGCCATCTCAGCGCGGCAAATGGAGCGCAAGGAAGCCTCCAATGGAACGCCGACACCCCAAAAGAGCTTCGATAGCCTGGAGCTGTATCAAGAGTCAATTCGGCTCCTGACGCCTCTCTTGGAAGCCCATGACCCGGCGGTTATCCCCATTTGCGTGATTCTTTGTTGCCTTGAGATGATGTCTGCGAGCGCAAGAGACTGGCGTCGCCATCTAGAAGGATGTGCAGCTCTGTTCGACGCATTCCAGGTCCACGGGTTCTGTGGTGGCTTGCTTCAAGCTGTGTTCTGGTGTCACGCGAGAATGGGTATGTCCTTTGCTTCCATCTCACATGCTGATCACTTCCGTTTACTCGAATTCATCTGACCGGAGACTATAGATCTATGCGGCGCTTTGATATCGGATGGCACGCAGAGTACCATCATCCCACCCATTGCTTGGCTATCCCCTGGCACAGACGAGGCAAACGCTCGGCAGTGTTTTCACAAGATGCAGAGCCCCGATATGCACGCCAACTACGCAGTGTATCTCTGCGCAAAAGCCTGTGAGCTCATCTCGGACCGTACTCATCACGACGAGCTAGGTGTTTCCAACGGATGCACGGCAGAAGTCTTTTCTTCCCGTTGGACGAGACTATGGGACGATCTACAGGCTTGGATCGATGACCGTCCCCATGAGCTACTGCCATTGCAGACTGTCGAATCGCAGCCTTTTCCACAAATCCTCTATCTTCATTGGGCCGCCATCTCATCCAATCAGCTGCATCACACTGCTTGTCTGATGTTGCTGGGTTCGATGCCCAAGAGGCAGAGTCCCATTCCAGGTGTGACGGGGTCAAGCATATGGCACGCAAAGCGCATCTGTGGAATCTCCTTGACTAATCCACACCATGGTTGTTTGAACAATGCGATTCAGCCGTTGTGGTTGGCAGGAAGGCTTCTAAGCCATGAATCGGAGCACTCTATCCTCGTTGACCTGATCCGTGACATCGAGTCCACAACGGGCTGGGGGACCTGCTGGCGAATTCCCGACCTTGGAGCGGCCTGGGGCTATTCTGTTAGGAAGCATTCTCGCTCACGATATGCTCATGAAGACCTGTCTAGAGATCTCCATACCGGATGAACAATCAATATGTCTGGGTATAGGCTCATCGAACTGACTCTGAAGTGCGCCACTCTCGATGCAGTCTCTCAACGAAGCCATCAACGTGCCAACCCAGAGCCCCAACGCGTTTAAATCCCATCAGTATTTCTCTCTGTTGAGTCTCATGCGTCATATGTCGAGCAGCGACATAGAAAGACGCCAGGAGACAAGGATCCCAGCACTCGCATCGGTTGTTATTGACCGAAATGCCGCATATCCTCTGCGCATGCCACAGCCGCGACCATGATGATGAGCGCCGCTGGTCAAGCTGCAAAGTTCTTGGCTTATGTGCTAGGATCAGCATCATGGCTGTGTGATACAGCAAATTCGCAAAAGTCGCTGCTCCGCTGGTGAAATACAGGGTTGGAAACGGAGACCCTTCGCGGTTGAGTTCAATGACCGGGCGAAACGTGGGTGGTCTGTTTATATACCAATCGTTGAGGCCGTTGACAATTGCCTTCCAACGAACCGCCCGAGGTTTTGGTTTGATATTGAGACTTTGTGTCTCTTCATCTCCATAGGATAATTCGAGAACTCTGGTGCATAGAATAAGAGGCTCGTATGCATAGTGAATTTCCGTGTTAATGAACTCATCCTTCTTCTGGCTGGAGCTCTTGATTGAAGTTTCGAGGATGCTGCTATCGACGATCGAAGTGGTTTCTTTCAACAAAGCAGCAGCAACGCCTTGGTGACTGTAAGCGGGATTCCCGTTGTAGCCGAATGGCTCACTCACCTAATCTCGCAAGCAACCATAGCATACATCCATTTTGTCCTTGCAGTGGACTGTTCTCTCCGTCGGAACAGATCATCTGCAGAGATCTATTCTGTGCCAGTGCATCATCCCAGGATTTGGGAGGGTCAATGAGGAAATCCTTTGTAGCTATAAGAATTGACCGAAGCTTGACTTCCCACATATTAGTATGTCCAAGATCATACTGGGCAGAATATGCGCTATGGTCTCCGCTTGATGTATGGCTGTGACTTGATATCTGTTCATGGGGATTGTTTGCTTTAGAAGTAGCACATAATTGCAAGAGTGCGTCAAATGACACGTCGGACCTCGTTGCAAGATGCGGAATGGCAAGGCCAAAGGTCTGATTCAGGTCACACATGTCCAGCTTGAGTTTTGAACAACTGTTAGTAGAGTTCAGAGAAGGAATGAAATGGAAGTCTGCACTCACCCATGGCGCAATTTTGTATCTGTAGTGCCTCAGCAGTTCGATTGTCCGTGCTGACGAGAGTTGATGTTGTACGTTGACACTCAATGGGCCAAAGTCGTCTGTGTTCCTGAGTGTCAAGGGAGGAGATTCCACGTTGTCTGCCGCACGATTCTCGAAAGTGGGAGTCCCCGGAGTCAGTGTATCCGCACTTGGATCACCGGTTCCAAGGTTCATCAGTACATCCAGTGCAATTTCGTAACTATCTCCATGGCTGGTCCCTATATATTGACGGTCGTGGCCATCAAGACCGTGAGAAGAGGCATCGTTCTGTGCCTGTACATCTTGAGTCTTGTCGATAATTCTTCCAGAATCATCATTTGAGGCGCCAGAGTCAAGGCAAAGATTCTGCTGGCCACTCGAAGAAGCACTTGAAGTCGCTTTCGTTCCACCATTGGGACGCAAGACATGATGCGTACCAGTGCGCTCTTCTACGTTGGCAGGGACACGAGCGGCTGAAGTGGATGCCTCTTCACTTCGACCAACATCTTTTTTCCTGGCAGCTCTATCATTTGCAAACTATTCGACGAATGGTGTCAGGATAAAATCTCCATAAAGCTTGATTAAAGAGGAAATACTCGCCTGAACCTTTAAATACCTGGTGGTTCCTCTGGGACTGCTGGATGATGAACCATCGCCGCCGTCAGGAGAGAGGGTAAAAGCATTCTTCTGCAGGAACGAGAGACGCTGCCCATAGATACACTCCGACTCGGTGTCAATGCAGCGCTGACAGCGCGGTTTACGCTCGTCGCCTATCTCCTAGTTAATGATCCTGATAGCCGGCGGTATAAAATATCAGGGTGAAATTGTCCGAAATGGCAACTATAAGCGTCCAGATGAATGCTGGGGTTGGTATTTGTGTCTGTCATCTTACATTTTCGTCGCCGCGTGCGACATCGCAGGCAGCCTGTTCTCGTGCGTTTCCTTTGGATGCGATCGGTGCTTCCACTTTCTTTGTTCTCCATGGCGTAGCTTCGACTTCTGACTTGAGGAGTGGCAAGCTGTGTAAGGTCGACTGATTCTGGCGGATACATGCAGCTTTCGAATCTTGCTGTGAAGCGTTACAAAGGACGGAGAGGTTCGTTGCTCGTTTTGGTAGATTTAGGCACAGCCTCGGCTAATTGTAGCCTTGGAACATGGGGATGCCTAGAGTGTTAGTGGTCGAAGGGTTGAGCTCAACACCATCAGCAACTATTGCCTTGCTAAACTAGGTTGCCGCAAGCCTTGGATTCAGGCGGGAGACATGGAGACTAACTCAAAGTCTTCGGTTCCATATCAGAGATTGGGAAGATCTCGAATACCTCAACAGAAGGCTGCTCTCCTCTCACCGGAGAATATGTATTCATGGTGAGAAGCCAGGCTACGGCTCTCGTCAATGCCTGTATAGTACCATAAGGTATGCAGAGCGGGCGGCTACGTGTACTTGATAGGGAAATCCAGAAACCAAGCTACCTAGATCAAGGGAGAACGCAACCACACCTTGTCCGATGGCGACTGAAAATATATTTCGATTCTTCTCAAATCATTGTTTTGTGGCATACAGAAGCAAAGTAGCAAGAATAGTCGACGAGATGGGTCTCTATTTGAAGAACCCATTTGCATCCATGCCCAAACATGTTGGCCAGCTTTGGTACAATGCAAAGATGGCCATTCAGCTACTTGAAGAATTGAGACCTAGGTCAACTACTAGTGAACCTCTTGTGACTTTGGGCCTATGACTGTCTACAGGTCGACAAACTCTCTCTTCAACAACTCATCTTGCCGAATCCTCTCCAAGTATCCCAATACCTTGGACACGATGCTATCCACGTCAAACCCAAAGTACTTGTACGCCTCAGGACCAGGGAGACTATGGCCAAACCGCCTCATGCTTATGCCCGCATCAGCATATCGTTCCCAACCATTTGGTGCATACGGCTCGACGGCAACAGCTGGGATTCCCTGGTGTCTCCGCAATACGCTCCTCTTATACTCCAGAGACTGGCCTTCGAACAACCTCTGGCATGGGAAGCTGACGACTCTGCAGCGAATGCCATGCTTCTCCAGTAGCAGGTTGGCAGCACCCAAAACATGTGACAGTTCGGCGCCTACACCAATGAGGGTGAGCTGAGCATCACCATCCTCCTGGACGACATACGCCCCTCTTGCAACACCATCACGTCGAGTCTGTTTCAGCTGCGGCACCTTGTGCCTCGAGGTCGAGATGATGGAAGACACACCCTCAGCTTCAACGGCAGCAATCCAAGCACCAGCCGTCTCCTCACTATCCGCAGGACGGATATACAGCAAGTTTGGCATTGCTCGAAACAGCGCTGCAAGTTCAACTGGCTGATGAGTCGGGCCGTCTTCGCCCATCCCGATTGAGTCGTGGGTCGCTGCGTGAATCACTTTGAGGCGTTGGAGGGCGCCCATTCGCACGGCTGGTGCTGCGTAGAGGTAGAACATGAAGAAGGAGCTCGTGACGGGGATGAAGGTCCCCGGGGAGAAGGCCGCCATGCCGTTGGAGATGGCGCACATGGCGTGTTCGCGGACGCCGTAATGGATGTATCGGCCTGCGTAAGAGCCGTTGATGCCGCAGGCTGTGCGAAGGTTAGGCTATGTTGCGGTACTGTTAGCAAAGAGGACAAGAAGAGGCTCTGAACTGGTAAAGGTTCACTTACATGCTGAAAGTCTTCTTTGCCTTCCCATGCCATGTGCACAGATGGCGAGAGGTCTGCTGTTCCCACCATGAATAATTTGATCTCCTTGGCCAGAGGATTGATCATCAGCCCAGATGATGCTCTCGTCGCCAGTGGCTTATCAGAGATATCTTGGGGTCTGGGTATGAGACTCTTCCAACCTGACGGCAGTTGTCCATCTACACGGCGCCGGAACTCTTCAGCAAGCAGCGGATGAGCAACGGCATATTGTTCCACCAGGTCATTCCACCGTGATACAATCTGCTCTCCGCGGCTGGGAAGATCCGAGAAGAACTGACGGACGGGATCCCCAACGACAAAGTACTCGTCTTCATTGAAGCCATACGCGCGCTTCATCCGTTTGACATCATCGGCACCCAAAGCAGCTCCATGAGCCTCTGCTTGTCCGGCAACGGCGCTGTCCAGCCCGATGATTGTTTTGACATTGATGAATGTCGGCTTGTCTGTTGAAGATTTTGCCCTTTCTAATGCTGTCACGATTCCATCCACATCGTAGCATCCATCCTCGACTGAAATCACATCCCAGCCGCAGGCTCGCATTTTCGCGTCGACATCTTCGGTGTTGGTCAGATCGACTGAACCATCGCAAGTGATTTGGTTGTTGTCGTATATCACAGTCAGATTGTTCAACTTGAGATGCCCTGCAAAAGAGATCGCCTCCAGTGCCACGCCCTCCTGCAGACAAGCATCGCCAACCATACACCACGTATGATTCGACACGACTTCGTACCCGGGCCGATTATACGTGGCCGCAAGGTTCTTGGTAGCCATGGCCAGCCCAACGGCATTGGCAACTCCCTGGCCTAGAGGGCCGGTAGTCACCTCGATGCCTTCAATCTCAATCTCTGGATGGCCAGGACAAATGGAATCCCAGCGGTTCGAGTGGTATGACTTGAGCTGATCCATTGTCATGTCTCGATATCCCGTCAGATGCAGAAATGCGTATTGGAAGAGGCACGTGTGGCCATTGGACAGGACGAATCGGTCTCGATTGAAGAAAGTTGGCTGTAAAGGGGCGTAGCTCATCACGTATCTCCACAAGGCAATGCCAATGGCGGCCATGCCGATGGCGCCGCCTGGATGGCCGCCGTTGAACTGTTGGCAGAGATCGCTGATGAGCAGTCGGAAGGTCTTGAGGACTATATCGTGCTCTTGAGATCGTTGGCTATCATCTTGCCGATGACATGGAGCTGACTTTGTTGGGTTCGGTGTCTTGCTGGACGAACTACCGGGAGCCATCTTGATGGATTGGTCAAGTATAGGGGAGAATTCCGCGGCAACGGTGTGTTGACAGTTGTGCCGTACAACTTCAGCTTCTATATAATAAAAAGAAAAGGATCAGAGAAATGATGTCGAAGATATGACAAACGCAAATGCTCGGTCTATAGCTTCCGCAGATATAGGCTAATAGAGGTTATTGCATCCGCATCGAGGAAGCCGTGAGGATTGCCGAATCGGGAAGTTTTAGCCACCTCTTGGAGCGCGATCATTTGAGCTCCTCAGAGGCCATCACGTCTTATTGTCTACCCTTCTGATTTAATAATTCCCAGCAATATTGCGTTTCTTGCACCTGACCGACAGTAGTTTGGTACTTTACACTTGACATTTGGGCATTCGCAAAGTCACCGTCAGCATTCTACTTACACCAAACTTCACTACTTTCGAGCTTCTGTCGATTGCCTCGACCTAAACCATGGCCTCAGCAACCATGCCCAGCGGCAACGTTTCTGTAGCTCGGGATCTTGAGCATAGGATCATTCAAGCTCCACGACCCAATCCATCACTACAAGCAACTGCCGACCACAACCTGAAGCTGGTCGAAGCACCAGTGTATAAACCAGAGCGCGGACAAGTCTTGCTGCAAATCAAAGCTACTGGCATATGCGGGTGAGTGCTGAAGGTCTTCAACAAACTCGCATTCAACTGCAGGCTGACAGAGTGCAAGATCGGATGTCCATTTCTGGAAGTCTGGGAGAATCGGCTCCCTCGTCTTCGAAGGAGACTGTATTCTGGGACACGAGGCAGCCGGCGTTGTGCTCAAGTGCGGAGAGGGAGTGACAAACCTCAAGCCCGGTGTGTTGCCGAAAGAACGCCAAGATGGCACATCAATACATCACGGTCATGGCTTTGGTGCTGATACAGATGAACAGGCGACAGAGTGGCCATAGAGCCAGGTGTTCCTTGCGGAGAATGTTTCCTCTGCGTGGACGGACGTTACAATTTGTGCAAGAATGTGATGTTCTCCGGCGTCTATCCGCATCCAGGGACCATACAGCGGTACAAGACCCATCCGGCCAAATGGCTTCACAAGTAGGTACCAGTATTGCCACTGCAACATCGCCGTCAACGGGCGCTCACGTTTATGCTGCACAGGCTTCCAGACAACCTCTCCTTTGCCGAGGGCGCCCTGCTCGAGCCTCTGAGCGTCGTCCTGCACGGCATCCGAACCGCTGGCCTCAATCTCGGCTACGGAGCCGTCATATGTGGCGCCGGTCCCATCGGCCTCATTGCCCTCGCCGCAGCGAGAGCATCTGGTTCTCACCCGATCGTGATTACAGACATTGAGCCCAAGAGGCTGCAGTTCGCCAGGGAGTTTGTTCCCTCGTGTCGGACATACCAGGTTGATCCTTCTCTAAGCGCCGAGGAAAACGGACGCAGAATCCGACAGCTGTTTCGAAATGACAATGCCGAGACGTTACAAGACGGCAGAGAAGATGTCCTTGAGGAGTACTTTGCACCACGGACGGTGCTCGAGTGCACTGGCGTGGAAAGCAGCGTATGTACCGCAGCTTTTGCCGTGCGACGCGGAGGCACTATTTGTGTGATTGGGGTCGGGAAATCAATCATGAACAACTTGCCCTTTATGCACATTTCATTGGCCGAGGTAAGTAGCCACGCCCAGACGAAGCGGTGTATAAAGGTATGGAAGACTCAAGGTTGCTGACACGAGTAACAGATTGAGCTCAAGTTCATCAACAGATACCGAGATACCTGGCCGGCAGGAATTGCATGCCTGAGCGGAGGAATCCTCAATCTGAAGCCTCTTGTTACCCATGTCTTTCCTCTGGAGAAAGCACTCGAAGCCCTGCACTTGGCGGCTGATGCTAGAAATGGGAGCATCAAGATTCAGATTGTAGACGAAGCTGACGAGGACGTGCTGGGCTGGAACACGCAGAAGGGCGTCTGAAAAGACGGGACATGAGGTAGAGTGTAAGTGGATAGCATCTGATCTGGCCCTGAAATGGCAGGAAACCTGCTTTGGACATCCGTAAAAATCAATGGGGCTGTTCATCGTCCATCCATGCGTTGAGCCTGCTGTGTACATGTAACAACAGACGCAAGCGATACATCTCATATGATCCTACACCGTGTGTTGCCATGTTATCGCCACATGACCCCTTGCGTGTTACATCCAGTGCAATCCGGGAGGGAAGACGGCAAATTGCCATCCCAACCGACGGATGTCCTCGATCCTGATGAGCCCTGCTGTGCCTTGAGCTTGTGCAATGCGAGGTGGCACACAGTACGAGACCGGGCATATTGGCTGGTCCACAGCGCGGAGCACACTCCGAAAAAGTCGAGGCCAATCAACTGATGGGCTGGGATTCTCCTCCCTGCAGCAAGGACCGGCGCATGCCGACCTACATACATACAGCAGGATGTACGCGACTGTATCGTGTCTTGGCCAATACTATGCAATGAGGGGTTCCAGGATCCTTGAAGCGTCTCTTGTCTCTGGGCTCAGCTCACAGGGGAGATAAAAGGGCCGCTGGGAAGCCGTGTCCCTTGACCTGGAAGCTTGGAAGAATCTGGATCTGAAGCATTGAGGTCAAAAACGCCCCTCTAATAGTGTATTCTATTCACACGGCCTGACATCAGCCTCAGCCAGACCAACACTGGATGAGTCGTCTCCGGAGCCTCGACAACTCTCGAGGATCCTCGAGAACAAGAAGCCAGGACACGCCGGCTCGCGAGCCAAATGCCTGATCGGTCCTCCCAAGCAAAGGGCCGGCCGCTGCGCCGTGTGCTGCCGGCTCCCGCCCAGCAAGGCCCGGCGACAGCGGCTCCCGCTCCTCTGGCATCGTCGTCGTCGTCGTCGTCGTCGAGGAAGAACCTGACGCCAGCAGCGTGCAACGCGTGCCGCAAGCAAAAGACAAAGGTTCTCTCTCCAGCTGCCCCAGCACTGCTCCCTCTCTCCCTTGCATGCCAGCCTACTAAACCAGCCCCCTCCCCCGGCAGTGCTCCGGCGAGCGGCCAAGCTGCTCCCGCTGCGTCCAGCGCCGAACCGAATGCCTCTACACGACTCAGCCCGGCGAGACAACGTCTCAGGCCCTCAAACGGGGCTACCGGGACCTGCGCCAGCGCACGAGCGTCCACGAGGAGCTGTTTGAGCTGCTGAGGAACCTGCCCGACCGCGAGGCCGAGCACGTCTTCAAGAGAATCAGAGACGGCGCCGACGTCAACACGATCCTCAACCTTATCCGAGCGGGCAACCTGCTGCTGCAGATGGCCGTTGCGCCCGAGACGCGGTTCCGATACGAGTTCCCATATCGGTCTGAGATGCCGGACTATTGCATTGAGAACAACCCTTACCTGGACTCGATCATCTGGGGCGCGGCGTCGTTGTATGCGCAGGATAGTAGTAGGCGGCCTAATGCTGTCGCTGTTGCTGCTTCTTCTTCTTCTTCTTCTTCTTCTGCTGCTGGGCCGGCTGGTGATTATGGCACGGAGGGATATGAAAGCATCTACCTGAAGCCGTTCCATGCGGCTGAGGTCGTTGATCCCCGGCTGAGTGATGCCAAGATCTCGGCTTGGACGTCTGTCACCAGCGACGACGTGCTGATGCGAGAGCTGCTAAAGGTGTTTCTGCGGTGCGAATACATGTTCACATCGGCATTCCAAAAGGACTACTTCTTGGACGATCTCGTAGCCAGACGAGACGAGTTCTGCTCTTCGTTGCTCGTCAACATTATCCTCGCTTATGCTTGCGTACGATAGCCTCCCCCTCCCCATCGACACAAAAGGTACACCTTACAGTTTCTAATAACGAGGCTCTCATAGGTCTGCTCTCCACAACTTTCAAACCGCGCCGAGTACTGGAACCCCGAAACGCTCGTGTATCGCTTCCTGGCCGAAGCGAAGCGCATCTGGGAGCTGGAATCGGGCCAACCACACATCGCCACGATACAAGCCGGGATACTCTTCAGCGTCTTCCACAACCTCTGCGGACTAGATGAGATTGGCCAGCCTTATCGGCTTCAGGCCATAGAGCTGGCCCGAGAGATGCGTCTTTTCGATAGCACCGTGGGTGGGCGCAGCGACAAGATGAAGAAGTGCATGGCGTTTCTAGCATGGACCCTGTTTGACTGGGAATCGTGAGTAACCCCAACCTTCTAAAAAACGCCTGATACACTGAACTCATGATTCTGTTCCTGCATGTAGACTCGTCAGTTTCTCCTTTGTGTTTTCTCCGTTAATCAAAGAGCCACCAACTTGGAAGCTGCCGGATCCCTCGAAAGACCCCAGTTTCTACGGAGAGGTTTGGCTCAAGTATCCCCTGGGCAAGAACCTTTCGCCGTCGTATTTTGGCCAAATCTTTCGCGCAAAGTCTCAGTTCCGGCTCATCATGCACGACTTTGCCATGGCAGCGTATACGGAGGGCTCGCAGGTGACGGTCGACAAAGCGTACGAGCTCCACCAGAGACTGCTGCGCTGGTACGAAGCCCTGCCTGCTCAACTGCAGCCGAGGACAATCGTGCTTCCTGCGCACTTGCAACTCCAGTAGGCACCTCCAAACTGTCCATTTCAGTGTCAAGTCGCTAACACAAAGCAACAACAGCACTTATTATCACTTCCTAATCATCACCATCTTCGAACCCCTTCTCGACACAGAAACCGACCGAGAACCCTCCCCCAAGGAGATCGTGGGCGAGTCCAAACGCCAGACCCAGACCCTCATCCGCCTCTACTACCTCCGCCACGGCTACGACGCCATGGACCTCTTCCTCGTTGTCCCTCTCATGATGGCCGCCTCCGATTGCCTCGAGGCCATTGACCGGGGCACCACCGGCCGGGACCTCGAAGTCCTGCGCTCCACGCTCATCCTAGTCGCAAAGGGACTCTACAACCAGCGCCGCAACCACTACCTGGCTGAGGCGCTGTTCCGGGTCATTCGGGGCCGCATGCGGCCGTCGGAAGTCGCACTGTTGAAGGACACGATGAGCCTTGACGAGCGGGAGTGGGATGAGAGGCGGGACATGGTGCAGGCTGTGAGGAGTCAGTGGCCGGTGAGTGTGGTGAAGAAGAAGGAGGACTTGGATTCGCATATCTTGACGAACCTCGTGGAGAATTATGGACATCTGAACGTGGAGGATACTGTTGCGTGACAAGCTCCTCATCGTAGAGCCAGCTGTCAGCTGTTACTCACTGTGTTGAAAGATGGAGTTGAATCAGCCCATGATTGGCTTGATTTGCGAGTTATTTGGTTAGACAGCGTTGTCTTGCTTTTTCCTGCATTGAGGGGGTTGCTCTTCTGTCTGATACGGACACCTCTGCAGCTTGACGAATGAACATGAATATCTAATGTGGTTGAAGATAGACCGACCACCCATTCCGCCCATTGCCTTCAACAGACAATATCTCTACTGCACATGCTCCTTCTCCTCCGCCTTGGGAATCCGCACCATTGTAATTGTTATCAAAGCGCCCAGCAAGGCGGAACCAAGCCCAAACCACCAGATGGCTCTCATCCCCTCTAGTCCAACCTCCCCATCAGGCAGCATCCCAATCTTGATCCCAACGGACCCAAACACAGACGCGGCAATCGCCAGCGTCAAGTTCTGCACCGTGACCAACAGACTCCCCGCTGAGCCCTGATACGACCTCGGGACGCTCGAAGTGACGAAGATGGTCGCCGCGGCAAAGCTCAGATCAGGCCCCAAAGTGGCCAGAGCTACGCCCGGCAATGATAGACTCCAGTATGACGAGCCTGGTGTTTGGGGGAGGAAGAAGACTGGTCCGAGACCAAAGCATACCATGCTGATGGCTAGGATCCAGTGCCCTGGCACAACGTGGAGCGTCTTGGAAACGACCCATGCTGCGAGGACGCCGACGATGCCGTTGGGCAGGATGTACAATGCTGCTGTGAGAGGAGATGCGCCTTGATAACGAAGCCAGAACTGTATGGCATAGAATTGCCAGGCACCGGCTAAAAGAGGAATATCAGATTACCGGCACACACAAATATGAGCGGAGCGCAAGAGACGTAGAGATGGACTCACTGTAAGCTCCGAAGCCAAAGACATACGACACCAAGACCGCAATGAATCCAGGCGTCCTCCACAGCCCACTGGGTATAAGCGGTCTCTTCACCCTCCTCTCCGCAAAGTGAAATCCAACGAGCATCAGCAGCCCGAGAATCACAGAAACATACGTATACGCGCTCCACTGCACCGCAGACCCCTGCGTGAGCCCAAACAAGACCAGTCCGCATCCCAGCGACGCAAGCAGAGCACCGATATAGTCAAACTGTCTCACCGAGGGCCTTTCCGCGGACGAACCGCCGTCCACCGCGGGACGCAGATCCGGTATCGTAAAGTACGCCGCCACAGCGCACGCCGCCAGGAATATCGCCGTCGTGCCGAAGATCCAGGGGAGATGCGCGCTGAGGAGGCCTCCCTGAACGCATCCGATCCAGTACCCAAAGGGAGCTCCCGCGGCCATCATCGAGAAGACGCGCGTCTTGCGGATGCCGGGGTTATACACGCGTCCAAGGATACTCATCGAGGCAGACACCAGCACGCCCACCGCAAGACCCTGCATGGCCCTCGCCACGAAAAAGAGCACCTTGAGCTCCGGGGAGACGGCCGCAGCAGTGACGCCGTTCCAGACGGCTTCCCACAGAAAGGCCCCGACCATGAGCGGCTTCGGAGGAGCAAGATCAGCCAGCGGACCAAATACAATGACGGAGAGCCCGCTTGCCAGCGCGGAGGACCCGATGAGCCAGGGGGTTTGCGCGGGGAGCATGCCCAGTGCTTCTCGGAAGACGAACTGCGTGACGGAGACTTGGCCCATGGTGAGCGAGAAGATGACCTGTCCGGCGGTGCAGACGAGGACAAAGATGACTTCGGAGAGGAGGTTGGCCAGTTCGGGGGGGATGCCTTGGGATATCGGATGGGCGGGTGTGCCTTGTTCTTCTGGGAGGCCGGCGGGCGGAGGAGGGTTAGGGACGAGGTCATTCTGTCGGATGTTGATGTTGCTCAGTTGGATGTCTTGTTGGATCTGGGGATTGTCGGGATTGGATGAGGTTGTTGAGGTCTTGATGTGAGCTTCCGGAGGTAGAAGAAGCGTTGCTTGCGTGATGGACATGATGACTGCCGGCTTGGTTGGTCGTATTTTTCCCAACTGTTATTGCTGTTGTTGCAGTGCTACTCACATGTTGAAAAATGACTGAACAAGAATTCTGTCAAGTCCAACCCGACGTATTGGTCAGGTAGAAATAGTTTGGCAGTTCAGAAGGATGGAAGTGTGACATCGCGCATTGTCACACCGATGCAGCCCCCCAGATTTTGGATAATACTACCTATCACCTATCACATCGACGGCATATCGGAAGCAAGCGAAGTCCGCAGCTAACCATTCAAAGGATCCGGTAGGCTGACAGCATATGTATATATGGATTAGTAGTCTCTCCGAAGCTCTCTTATTAGCCAAAATCGATGCAGGTTTATTTGATGGAGTGGCTGCTAGCACTCCAACTTGACTACCCAGCAACAAGGGCAGGATTATCAGAAAGCTTTGTGAAATCAAAGCAAGTTAATATATTGTAACAATGTAGCCTTCCCTATATGGACACGGAATGGTCCGGCTCTACAGCCAAACAGGATCCTGGTAGTACAAGCATACAATCCAAGCGAATCCCCCAGGGTACCCAAAGGTTATATACCACAGGCTCAGAATATCCTCACCAAAACTGTAGAAGAAATGACTTGGCGTGAGCCTTTAGTTCCTCCTCCCAAACCCTCACGAATCGGCTTCTAGCCCCTATGATCACTCGCTGTTGCGTCCATAGAAAGATGGACAGCACATATGCGGTGTTTTATGTTGACCAATCAATACCCAGTTGCCGATGAATTGCCTCCATAGCCTTGACCAGCTCATCTTGTTTCGAGACTGATCAGGCCAGCAAATGTCTTCCTTTGCAAGAGAGACCCTGTATATCCTTTCTATTTTCCCTGAGCCCAACTTTCAAGGGGCTCGCGATGGCAGCGAAAGCATGGCCAAATCATGACCAGAGAAATAATGTTCAGGGTAATCCGCTGGATAAAGGTTGAGCGGGGTCCTGAGACATAACGGAATAGTATCATGTATAATGTGTCGGGGCTGCAACCCCCGTCTGTCAAGGCGGCCCGTTGGTCGGGCTGTTGGACCACTCAGACGAATCCAACCAATGGAGCAACTTTTGCAGTAGCTTGTTGATGTTGACCGGCTTGGAGATGTAATCGTCCATGCCCTTTTCTAGGCAGGTTTCGCTATCTCCTCGCAGAGCGTACGCGGTCATGGCAATGATTGGAATCGGGATCCCCTGAGTCCGAATCTTCCTCGTCGCCTCGAATCCGTCCATGACGGGCATGCTAATGTCCATGAGGACCAGGTCGTAGGTGTTGGGTGAAGCTTTCAACGTCGAGACGGCCTCTGCCCCGTTGGCAGCAATGGTAGTGTTGTGGAAACCGAGAGACTTGAGGACGCGGGCCAGCACCTTCTGGTTGACAAGATTGTCCTCGGCTGCGAGGATTCGCTTCCGTGGCGCCAGTTCCTTGATCCGCTGCATCATGCGTTCCTTTTCTGCGTCCTGGCGGGACTTTTCGCTCTCGCGCTCCGCCTTGTCAGGGGCATCGAGCTGGTTGAGGTTGGCAATCTTCTTGAGCTTGACGGTGAACCAGAAGACGCTGCCGTTGCGCTCGCGATTCGGTCGGTAGCCCATCTGGCCACCCAGCAGTTCGGCGAGGGACTTGGCGATGGATAGCCCCAGGCCCGTTCCCTGATATCGCTTCTTGGTCGGCTTCTCGAGCTGGGTAAAGGGCTTGAAGAGATTCTGCACGGCATCCTCGGGCACGCCGATGCCGCTGTCGGTAACCTCGGTCAGGATCGTGTAGTACGTGTCGTCCTGGCTCGTCACCGAGGCGGCCACCTGGACGGACCCGGCCTCGGTGAACTTGACGGCGTTGTCGATGATGTTCTGGAAGATCTGGCGGAAGCGCAGCGGATCGCCCTGGGCGGACTTGGGCAGGTCCGGCGACAGGAGCAGCTTGATGTAGACGCCCGGCAGCAGCGTCATCTGGACGTTGCGGACGACGGACGTGATGATGCTGGCGACGCCGACCAGGTCCGTGTTGACGGAGAAGTTGCCCGACGCCAGCTTGGAGTAGTCGAGGATGCCGTTGATGACCTGCAGCAGCACCTGGCCCGACTCGGAGATGATGTTGGCCGTGTCGCGCTGGTCGTCGCTCAGGGGGGTGTCGAGCAGCAGCGCGCAGGCCGACAGCATGCCGTGCATGGGCGTGCGGATCTCGTGGCTCATGTTGGCCAGGAAGTCGTTCTTGAGCTTTGCGCTCTCCTCGTACGCCGCCACGAGCCGCAGCTCGGCCTCGCGGCGCTCCGTCAGGTCGCGCGTCACCTTGCCGAAGCCGACGTGGACGCCGTTGCGGTAGATGGCCGTGATGGTGACGTTGGCCCAGAAGCGGCTGCCGTCCTTGCGGTATCGCCAGCCCTCGTCCTGCACGCGGCCCTCGCGCAGGCAGGTGATGAGCTCGGCCTCGGGCTTGCCGGCGTCGAGGTCCTCGCGGCCGTAGAAGTTGGAAAAGTGCCGGCCGACGATGTCCTCCTTGCTGTAGCCCTTGAGCAGCTCGGCGCCCGTGTTCCAGGTGGCCACGTAGCCGCGCGTGTCGAGCAGGAAGATGGCGTAGTCCTTGACCGTCTGGATCAGCAGCCGCAGCACCTCGTCCACCGACAGCGCGTGCTGGATGATCTCGCCGCGCGTCTCGGCCGTCGTCGGCTCGATCTCGTCCCACTCCAGCACCAGCGACAGCAGCTGGTCGCCGCGCAGGATCGGGATGATGCGCGCCGAGTACGACACGCCGTGCGCCGCGTAGGCGCCGTGGCACAGGTTGAACTTGCGCGAGGCCACGGCCACCTCGATGGCCGCCGCCAGCGGGATGCGGTCGAAGCGCTCGAGCGGCGAGCCCCCGTACAGCGTGGCGAAGAGGTCCTTGCCCAGCAGCTCGTCGGGGCGGCACTTCCACGCGTCGACGACGCCTTGGGACGCTCGCAGGATGCGGAACGAGGGCGAGACGACGAGGGTGGGCACGGGCGAGAGGTCGACGAGGTCGGCGGCGCTGAAGGGGGGTATCGTCGAGTCTGTCTCGGTCGGCGCTGTCGTGGTCTTGGAGTTGATGTTTGCGTCGCCTGTCGTCGTTGTTGTTGTTGTTCCGTCGACGAATGCTGATGCGCTGTCGTTTCTTGTTCTTCTACTGCTGCTGCTGTTGTTGTTGTTGCTGCTGCTGCTGCTGCTGCTGCTGCTATTACTATTCATGTTGGCACCCTCTGCTCCGGCACCCACAGCATCACCGCCGCCGACGCTGTCCATGCTCATCATGCTGGCGCTCAGGCTCGTATCAAGGCTGCCGCCGCTCATGGCCATCATGCTGGCGGCGCTGTCCTTGTCCCTGTCCTTGGAACCAGCACCACCACCAGCAGCAACACCACCACCACCGCTGTGACTGAAACTGCTGTTGCTGTTGCTGTTGCTGCTGCTTATGCCGTGAGCGTCCGATCGATCTCGGCGCCCCTGGCTGGCCTCGTAGTCGTGGTCGTCGTCGTGCTGGCTCAAGTGGCCGGATGCTCCCGCGCCCTGAGAAATCATGCTGTCGGCGCCTGGCCCGTCATCACGGGCGCCCATTTCGCACTCGCTGAAGAAACTGCTGGTGGTCATCAAGAGGAGCAGGCCCCATGTCTAGTGCCTGGAGTAGTGCGGGTAATATGGCAAGGTCAAGCCAAGGTCAAAGCAGGGCCCAAGCAAGGCACATGCAACACCCAGACACTCCTCGTCTCCAGTCTTCTGTCAGAGCCTACAACATGCTAATTACTAGCAGCACAAGACTAATCTCCGTAGTTTCCTCCTCGTCCTGCTACATCGCCATGACGTAACGACTTCGGAAGTTCTCCTCCGCATGGCTTCTTGCTTTAAATGCCCTCCTCGTCCGGCACCTCCTTTGAAAATCGACTGTACTAATCTTCCTTCATCCGTCACCTCGGGTCTGTGGCGTCGTGCCCTTTCGCCGGCAGGGCTTCTCCCGCCCATGTCGCTGCTATCTTTAGCAGCCCAGCGAGACGCACGGAAACCTCTCGTCTCTTCTCTGGCTCTCAAGTCTCCTCTCGCGTTTTACCGAGCAGAACGGGGCCTCCGGAATGCAAGCCCTGCTTACACGGGAGATCACCATTCGTGCTGCCAGGCCTTTCTTCTCCACTCTTCCAACGGTTTGGCGTCGAGCAATTAATGCAAACGTGGCTTAGCCGGCCAAAACCGACTCCGGATGGCACAAACAGCAATGATTGTCGATGAGGGGGAGGCACCATCTGCCCACGGCGGCACCGCGGAGGGCTGGGCTCGTCTCTATCTCGACAGTATCCAATCTATCCCTGAGCAACTCAGCCCAGATCTCCGAGGACGCCAGGCACATGAGAGTGACGATGACGGTGACGGTGACTATCCGGACGGCTTGGGGATTACAGGTAATAGTATACGACAGAATGGAAACAGAACACTCCGCTGTGACATCTGGATTACTAGCTCATGGATCCTGGGGAGAGAGCCAAGGTTGTCTCTCCATGTGGCTGAAAGCTGGGATTTCTACTCGCCAGACATCCGTTAGTAGATCGCCAGCCGCTGCAGAGCTGCAGTGTGACGACAATGCGCGACCTTCCAAGGCATTGATGACCCCCTGACTCGGTACCTACGAAGGCCACTCCGGAAGAGTCCGGCAACCCACTCGCTCTAGGTGTCGTTTTGACCGATTCTTGCGAATCAATATGACAGACGACATACGACAGAAATTATCCGCGTTGTAGACATTCCGTCATCTCCAGATACATTTATGTTACTGTCTGTCTAGAAATGCCGAGACTCTGGACTACCGCGACTCTTGTACTCCGATCTCGCACACGTTGGATGCAACACAGGCTCAGGTCGACTAGTTCGAGTAGTTCGCCAAACTTACCATTGAGGGATCTTGTTGAACAGGAATATTGTAGTCGAACTCCTTAGTTGGTAAGAGTTTCGACCACTATATGGTTCGACCACCATATGGCTCGAGCGATGAATCTGAATGACCGCCTAAGCGCATTGTTACCTCCATCAGCCATCTGACAGGACGCAGCATTTCATACTGCCACAACATACTACCCACTGATCATTCTCCAAGTGGTGGCGCATACTGTCACCTCTCCACGTATGTTTGACGTGTCGGTGGCTTTATAGCCTTCGAGACGTCTCCCAGATGGTTCGCTCTTCATTCCCAGCTAACCGACCATGTAAACTCGCGAATCAGGCAGCGGCTATCAGAAGTTGCCAATCGTCCAGCCCAGGCTGTTTGTAAACAAAAGGACAATTCACTATACCATATCAGCCAGAAATACATAATGAACCGCTCGTGAACTCATGGTGTTACATTGACAGGCTGACTCGCTTCGGCATCCGCGTATGAGAACATGCAAGCCATCTGTCAGTATATGCATGCCTGTCTTGGTTACACATTCTCTGCTGCAGCACTCGGCATCGGATCCCATGCAAATTCCTCAAGATCCCCTAACCCTCTTTGTATTCTCATAGGCAATTTCTTTCTATGATGAAGAGAATCATATTACCCCTTTTAGGCACAAGGCGTGTACATCATAGCGGGATATACACCACGGTTGTTCAGATCTAGGTAGTATAAACAGCGTCTCGCTGCTTCCATCTGTGGAAAGACTTACAGCTCTCATCAAGGAATAATGGGCAAACACGGCAGCTCCTCAACATTCGACTTTGTCATCAGAGGCGCAGGCGTCGTTGACATCCACCTCGCAATTGCATCAGTCTTGAAGAAGGCCGCACGCAGATTGTCTTGCTTCAGGATCAGACCCAAAGCAAAGACAGTTCTTTCGAAGGGGCCTTCAAGGAATATGATTGAGTAATCCTATTTGAACCGTAGCATATTCCTATTTGAACCGTAGTGGTCTGTGCAACAGCTAGAGAGACACCCCCAAGTGGTAAGGTCCACGCCCGCACAGCAAAATACAGTGTAGCACACTGGCGGTCATTACCGTCAAGGATATCACCAGAAGGGACAGCAGCGGCATTAGCTTCTAACCGTCGCCGGGTTGCTCATGATCTCTGCGTAGGTACCTACGGATAGCTGGCTGCAACTTGGACCTACAGACGACTGTAAGGAGGCCCTGCTGCTGCTGCCTCTGCTGCTGCCTCTGCTGCTGCCTCTGCTGCTGCTGCTGCTGCTGCTGCTGCTGCTGCCTCTGCTGCTGCTGCTGCTGCAGTTATGGCTTTAGCCCTAGGGTGATGGCGGTCACGATAATAAAGGCAGAGGGTCTACAGTATTAGAGATCGCGATACTGTTATTTGTGGTGTTGTTGTGCGGGTTACAGGATGTACTATTAGCTTATACTGTATATGGGTGTGCAGCTCTGGGACTAGTGGTGTAAGCGTAATGATTTTAGTACGGGCACAGACCACTACAGTTCAAATAGGAATATGCTACGGTTCAAATAGGATTACTCATATGATTTCTTCAGAACGAATAGCAGTGTCAATGACTTGTTTATAGTACCCAACATGTCGGGATGTCGCTGCGATGGCGCAGTCCCGAGATTGGGAGTGATCTTGACTCATATGCGAAGTATTTCACGAAACGGCTGCATGAACTCTTGGAATATGAATGGAAGGACGCAAATGGGCGAGATAAGGGTGAATTTGAGCTGCAAATGTGGTCTATCTGAGGGTGGTCAAGTGTCTTTGGGGCTTTCATTTATATGGTCGACTAAACAGATGGATTAGAGTGTTCCTGTGAAACCATATTCATACCGGATATGCCCCAGCAGTACACTTACTTTCTCGAGAACTCAAATAGGCCTTAGTTGAATTTCAAGCTCAAGATTCAGAATTCAAGCGCGAAGGTAGACGGCCAGAATCATTGACTCGCCCCGTTAGCAGTCAAGAAATCAAAGTCCACGCCATCCTGAGCCTGCATCACACTCCTCTCATACAAACCCCTATACCCACGCGCCGGCCGCCTCCTAGTCTCTGCAGGTCCAAGCCCTTCCAGCCGACTCTCTAACCTATCTTTCCTCTCCGCAACTCTCCTCCCAATCTCTGCTTCATCAAGCTCCACCTCAAGCATTCGCCTCTCCACATCACAGCAAATGACATCTCCCTCCCGTACAACCCCAAATACACTTTCCGGCAACGCAGCTTCAGGCGAAATATGCAAAACGATGCTCCCCCCCGCCGTGCCAGACATGCGTCCATCTGAGAGGCGCAACATGTCCTTGACTCCACGGGCTGCCAGTTTGCGCGGGATGGGTATCAGTCCTGCCTCTGGCATCCCTGGGCTTGAGAAGCCAATGGGGCCAATACCCTGTAAAACCAATACGCTGTTTTCATCAACATCGAGATCTGGATCATCAATGCGCTTGGCAAGATCCTCGGGGCCCGCGAAAACCACAGCTCGGCCTCGATGAGTGAGAAGATGCCTGTATTTGCTGGCGCTGGCTTTTATAACGGCTCCGTGAGGGGCGATATTTCCATATAAAACTGCGAGACTAGAAGACGGATACAGTGGGTTGTCCAACGGTCGAATGATCTGCGAAGTGAGCGGAAACGGGCGAAAGCCCTCCTCATCCAGAGCCTCACCCAAGGTCTTACCCGTTATCGTCAGGGCATCCAGCTTAAGCAGTGGCCGTAACACATTGAACAGAGCAGGAATGCCTCCTGCATTATGCAAGTCCGTCATGTAGTTGTCGCCGCTGGGCTTAAGATCAACAACCAACGGCGTCCTTCTTCCGATCTCGTCTATTGTCTGTAAGGTGATTTTGCCGTTTACTTCTGGATGCCGGTTTGCAATAGCGAGGAGATGCACGATGCCGTTGGTGGAGCCTCCGATGGCTTGAAGCACAGTAATGGCGTTATGGAAAGATGCCTCGGTGAGAATGGATTGCGGAGTGCGTTTGTGCTTGGCTGCTGCTATAGCATTTGCACCCGTCTGCTCGGCTATTCGCAGTCGAGCGCTTGATACCGCGGGAGCAGTTGCACCACCGCGAAGCGGAATTAGTCCAAGAGCTGCCGTCAAACAGGCGATTGTGCTTGCGGTGCCCATGACGCCGCATGTCCCGGCCTAGGTATGCAGCTGGTGTAAGTCGAGTTCTCACCTCCAGACTTGACAAGTCTTACCGTCGGAGCAAGTTCCTCGTTCAGTGCTGAAATGTCCTCGATATCAATCTCGTTTGCCCGGAAAGCCGCCCAGTTGTTGCGGCAGTCTGTACAGGCCCCAATACGGCCGCCCCTGAAACTCCCGGGCATCATTGGCCCCGTGATCAGAGGCAATATGGGCTTGTTGGCGGATATCCCTCCCATGAGCTGAGCCGGGACTGTCTTGTCACATCCTGGTTCACCATATGCCATCAGCCATCCATGGTCAACAACAGTTCTATGTGAAATCAAGCTGACCACCAATGACAATACACGCATCTACTGGCTGCGCCTTGATCATCTCTTCCGTATCCATGCTCATGAGGTTCCTCAAAAACATGCTCGTCGGCGAAGAAAACGACTCGTGGATGCTAATCGTTGGGAACTCAATCGCCAGCCCCCCGTTGAGCTGGACACCCCTCTTTGCCGCCTCAATGAGCTGGGGGACATTGCCGTGGCAGGGATTGAAGCCCGAGTACGTGTTGATGATGCCAATGATGGGTCGTGAAAGCGCGTCCTCGCTGTATCCCAGGGCTTTGATAAAGACCTTGCGGAGGAACAGAGAGAAGTGAGGATCGCCATAGTTGGGGAGCCCTTGTCTCATGCCGACTGCGGGATGGATGGGGCGAGAGAGGTCATAGTCGGCTTTGGAACCTGGCGTGGTGCCGTCTCTCGAGTCTTTTCGTTTGTCCATGTTGCAGTGGCTTTGGTCTGTAAGAACCGTGTAACTAAATGAAGCGGGTTTTTTGTTTTCTTGGTGTTTTGTGCTGGTGATTGCGTGATCTTGCACCAGATGGCCGTTGGCAGGGATCAGTTGTGTGGGTTGTGGAGGGGTTGATTGCCATCGCGGATATGTATCCGGCTTGAGGTCTAAACCACGGTTTCAACAGCCATCTTCGTCTCTACTGATCTGGAATTTCATACAGAGACACAATTGTTTCTTGCTGAAGGTTGTAGCATGTCACAATGTCACCCAAGTTAATCACAGTATCAGACTATTACCAGGACATCTTGTCAGTCCAGAGCATGATGCCCCATGTGTCGTACTGCCAAGCATGCCGATGATTACGATGTAGAGCTGCAAGAGAAACTGCTCTTTGTATCGATGAGATGGCTGATCACTGTCGGTAGTTGTTATGTATAGATGGATTGGCAAATTAAGACACTGTTAATCTCATAATTCCTCCTATTATGCACCACTTTCCTATGCTCCCTCGTTTCCGGATCCGGCAATTCTAGTCTTCGGCCAACTGCATTCCGGATCAGCCAATGTCGATCGACGATGAATCTCATCACCGACTTTATCTCATATAGACAGATCAGAGACCAGGGGTAATAAGATATCTCGATCGAGTAAGTAACTGCTGTGGTTCCGGCCATGTTTCTGTTAGTCATACTTTCTGAGACCGGCGTATTCCGTGATGGGGCCGAAGCAAGGCGGAAAAAAAAAATCTGACCCTGGCCTATCACTTGTGATGCCTTACAGTCAAGATATTCTCATATTTCACGTTACAAAGTTTCCAAACTGGCATACAGCCACGAATATGTGGTCACCTTGATCTCGAGATAGGAAACATCTAGAGGGACTTTGATGGAGTTTTCTGGAAGCCATCAGTAAATAAAGCAGGCATTCGCAACTCCATCCCACGCATCTCGTAGGGCGTCAACTAACACGGGAATCCACTTGTCGAATGAGCGGCAACTCTGGCTCCCGGCTCACCGGTGGCCCCCAATCCAGTTTTTTTTCCTTGGCTTAGGAAGACGCCTTAAGAACGAGCATTTCCAGTGTCGATTCCTCAAAATGGAAACCTCTGTTCATGGTTGCGTTGCTTGTCTGCTTCCTTTGTGCCTTATAGATCTGTTTAGATAGGTACCTAGCATACCCAAAATGGCAACGGCTGGTACGTCTCTTCCCCATGGAAGGCCCCTTTCATGTACTCCATACTACCCCAGACTTCACGAAGTCTACACTTTCGACTCAGTCTTTGAAGATCTGAAATACTCCCAGCATGCACTGACAACCTCATTCATAGTCACACTCGCTGCTGAAGACATCTCAATAACTTCCTACCCCGATGGCGGCCTCCAGGCATGGCTCGTCGTCCTCGGCTCATGGGCCTGCATGATCACCTCTATGGGGCTCCTCAACACCATGGCCGTTCTGCAGGCGAGACTATCAGAGAATGAGCTGAAGCATCTCCCTGAATCGACAATTGGTTGGATCCTCAGCAGCTATGCATTTTTTCTCTACTTTTGCGGAGCGCAAGTCGGTAAGTCATCTTATTCACCTCCCCTGATATGCCTGGAGAAGACGCTCGAAGAGCTCATAGCTAACGAACTGGCATCTCTAGGCCCCATCTTCGACGCGTATGATGTGAAATACCTGGTCATACCGGGCAGCATCGGCATCGTCATCTCCATGATGCTCATCGGTCTCTGCAAAGGTCCGTCACTCAACCCATCCCCCCTTTTCTCTCATACACACTCCAACTCACACATAATCACCCCCCCTCGCAGAGTTCTACCAATTCTTCCTCTGCTTCGGCCTCCTCGGCGGCGCCTCCGCCTCCCTCCTCTTCAACCCGGCCATCGCCATCATCGGCCACTACTTCGACAAGCGCCGCGCCCTCGCCACGGGCATCGCCTGCACCGCCGGCGGCCTCGGCGGCATCCTCTTCCCCATCATCATCCTCTACCTCACGCCCGAGATCGGCTTCCCCTGGGCCACCCGCGTCATCGCCTTCATCTGCCTCGCCATGGGCTGCCTCGCCGTCGCGCTCATGAAGAATCGCCTCCCCGACAACAAGAACACCAGCATCCGGCCCGGCAGCGCCATCGACCTCGCCGCCCTCCGCGATCCAAAGTACGCCCTCACCACGCTCGCCGTCTTCCTCGTCGAGTTTGCCGTCTTCATCCCGTACACGTACATCTCCTCGTACGCCATCCACGCCGGCATGCCCACCCAGCGAGCATACCTCCTCAACGCCCTCGTCAACGTCGGCGCCATCCCCGGCCGCGCGCTGCCAGGCTATGCGGCTGATCGCTTCGGCGCCTTCAACATCCTCGCTCTCACGGCAGCCACTTGCGCGGCTCTCATCTTTGCGCTCTGGTACACTGCCGCCACTAACGAGGCGGAGATTTACTCGTTTACTGTTCTATACGGGTTCTGGTCTGGTGCTGCGATTAGTGTCACGCCCGTGTGCATCAGCAGGGTGTGCAACATTGAGGATATTGGCAAGAGAACTGGCACGGCGTTCTTCATTGCGAGTTTTGGTGTGCTTATTGGCTTGCCTATTGCTGGTGCCATTATCAAGGCCGAGAATGGCTCGTATAACGGCGTCATTGTGTTTGCAGGCTGTTTCTATGCGGCGACTGTTGCTACGCTATATATTGCGCGAGGTGTGGCTGCTGGTTGGGGTCTCAGAGTTATCTTCTAATGTGGGATCTTGGGGATAAGAGACGCTTGACAATGATGATGATAATGATCCATGAGCAACACCTTTCCCATGGCTGACCTGAAAAATTTACTTCGTCAGCTTGAGAGAATAGAAAGGACATAGAGCGATTCTGTCATACAACTTTGTGCTATATTCCGTACGTTTTGCCGCATCTACTTTATACAAATCGTCCAAATCAACGCCAAGCTAGGCCAGGTAGACAGGCAACAAGCAACATATAGCCTCCGAGATGAACCAAACTCCGTAAGTAGAGTAGATAGCATCGCTCATCAGTCATTCAACGACACCTTGACCCATTTCTTCTGGCGACCTCCCTTCTTCGCCTTCTTGCCCTGTTCGGGCTCAACCTTTCCAACTGTCTTATTCACCTCGGCCTTGTTCATCGGTTTGAGAATGTTCTGCCCGTTCCATACCGAATTGACACTTCCAGCAGTAAGCTGAGGCTTCTGCGCACTCAAAAGCCAGCTCTTTGCTTTCTGGACAGCTTCTGTAGCTTGTTGGGCAGTGGGCGAGGTTTTTGCGTCTTTCGAGCCAGCACCTGTGGTCTTGGTCTGCGGCTTCGCGACATTGAGTGCGGGAAAGTTCTCTTTGGTGACCCATTTAGGAGCTCTTCTAGAAGTTCGTTTCCTAGAAACTGGTGCCTCCTCAGGCTTCTCCGCCCGCCAGCTTGGGTCCGGAGGTGGCTGAACGTAGACCTCTCTAAGAATACGCTGTCAGTTCAAACTTCCTGTCATGACTTGGCCAGAATGTCGTCAATACTCACTCAGTAGTGTCTGCACCTCTAGTAAGCCGTTCATATTCGGCCCTGGCATATGTAGCATACTGAAACAAGCCGCGTACCCCGGGAAGCCGGTGATTCTCTCCTAGGTCTCTCGCCCTCTTGCCACTGAGATCAACGGCATCGGGGTACGCACGGTAATTGACGAGCGTGTGCAAAATCTCGACCAGGCGGTCCTCCAAGTCGTGAGCTTCCTGCCTCAGAACCTCATGCAATGGTGTCTGGCCCAGGGTATCCAGTCCGTTGACATCGGCACCGCGCTCCAAGAGGCCGATCACCATATCCCAAAAGCCGAACCGGCAGGCCACATGTAGAGCGGTGCTTTTGGTTGTCGTACAGACAACGGGGTTGAAAGGGCGGTCTCTCCTAGCGCACTTTTCCATGGCCGTGAAGAGAATATAGACAATGTCTTCTTGGTCGTGAGCCATGGCACGAACGATTGGCAGGTTTCCTTGTTCGTCATTGTGGAAAACGCTTGCGCCTTTCTTCATCAAAAGCGACACGACTGATGTGTGGCAAGCGGCGGCGGCAAGATGGAGAGGCCGTTGCTTCAAAGGTGCGCAGCTCATCGACTTCCAGCACTTGTGGTTGCACTGATGGCGATAGGCAGTCTGCGTGATCAGGCCGTGGTCGGCACCAAATCGGAGCAACACTTCGACAGTCTGGGCCACGTTGGCTTCCCATTGAGCCTTCTCAAGGGCAAGCATTCTGTCAGCATGCTCAGCCTCTAGGTTGATGGGCCAGTGAGTAGCTTCAGAACGAGCATATGCTGCCTCGTCATCTCGAAAGGTCTTCTCCTCATCAGACAGGGCAAAGTCCCGAAAGCGGCTCCACGGCAGCTTGCGCATCACGGTAATGTGAAGAGCGGTATAGCCAAAGGGACTATACGTGTTGGGGTCGGCACCTCTGGTGAGGAGGTATTCCGCAGTTCGTGGGAGTGCATAACTGCAAGCAGTCCGAAGCGGTCCGTCCAGAGCCCCCAGACTTGTGCTGAGAGGTCGAGAGATGGCGTTGTATAGCGGCTTGATGTCGGGATAGAGTGTCATACTCTCGTCGAGATTGACGCCGTTCTTGAAGAGAAAAGTAGCCATCTTGGGTGCATCATAGAGCAGCGCGGCCTGAACAATATCAATATTGTCCATGGGATTGAATGACCTATGAACATTAGCCTCCGAGTCCTGAATGAACCGCGTCGAATATCGGATATCTCACCCTCTAAGCTGTGAAGCATGCTTGCTGAAGATGGCCCATTGCATCAAGTTCTGCGAATCGAGCTTGGCCGCGTGAACAAAGACGGTTGAAAGAGCGTGATGAAGGCCCTTGGACTCTGCCAGCTGGATGAAGGCCCGGGTAAACAAGGCGTCCGAAACTGCCCAGTAGAGGCTACGACTGCATTTGCTGAGGGAGCTCAAGTCCTGTCTTCTCACGATGTGGCCCGTGATGTGGTCCGTCAGCTCCTGCGGGAGCTTGCTCAACCCGCCCATGGTGCGTGAGTTCTGTCGTCTCTGCTGGGAGATGAGGAATATGATAGAGGCTGGACCCAAGAGATGAAACTTGAAGATAGAAAGAGGAATGGGAGATGGAATATGAGAGATGCAAAAGAGACCAAAGTTGAGGATGATGATGATGGAGGAAGCAAGATGTGAGTGTGAGCCGGAGGTTGAAAGCTGGGGGTTCAGCAAAAGAAAAAAAAAAAGGAAAAGCGTGGCTGTATCAGAGAACAAAAAGTCCAAGTTGAAGTGAATTGTATGGGATCTGCTAGAAGATGCCCAGGTATGAGATCCACGTCCAGTCCAGGCCAAGCCACCAAAACTTCGCGTGCCAGCTGTCAAATGGAGGTGAAGAACGAATGAAATCGCAACCGCGCTTGAAACTTTGGGACCAGAACTTAGCCGAGTCCTTGACCGCCCAAGTCGATTCCATTGTCGGGTTTGCTCAATTGTAATTTCTTCCCATTGTCGTCGGTTGCACACGCAGTTCCTGGTCTCGTTTCTTGTTCACATAGCACATGAGACATCAAAGTCAGGGACAGGTTCTACTTGGACTCATCCAAGCGGGCACACAAGCTTGTCTTTCATATAGAACATTGAGAATAGCGATGTCTAGGCAAGTTCGTTACCCGAAGAGCTTATGCTATCTCTCTCTTCTAATTCATGTATATGAGTCTGTAGGTAGTACTCGTAGTCATAATAGAACCCCCTTGACTCATCACCCATGCCCAATAGCAACCATCTATCCACACATTCCGCTACGAAGATCTATCTTACACGCATGAAATTGACTGCTATTGATGAAATATTGCACGGAAAACAATTCAAGTAGCGTAGCAACAAAGCAAACTATACGCTTAGATGATCATGTGCTTATTATATCCTTTGCGCCATCGCCTGCCAAACGTTCCACACCCAAGGTTCGTCCCGCCCCTTTTTCCTTCTAAACAAGCAAACTCCAGATAAGATGATGAGAGTAAGAGAAAGCCAAAGACCAAAGAGCAGAAGTCTATCTACATTTGATAAGGCGTCTCTTTCCGAACAATGTACACCTCGCCCACAAGTACCGCGCACCCCACGATCATAGAGATAGAAATGATGGGAAGATTGACGCGCGCAAAATCTAGGCTTCTTACGCGGATATGCTTTCTCGCAAGAATATCACGCCAGAGCAGACCCGCAAGAGAGGCGCTGAACGCAGAGCTAAACGCTCCGTAATTGACACCGATGGCCATGCTGTACACTGTTGCCCAAAAGGTCCGGTCGCTAATGGGGACACCGCTCCGATCATGAATCTCCTGCCACTTCTGGATGATGCGGCAAAGCAGTATCGTGGTGCCAATGTTTGTCCCCGCAAACTGCATCTTCGTTAGCCAGCGATCGGATAGGATGTCTGGGATTGATACTTACGTTGCATAGAACAACGGAGAGGAAGCCCATGCCCCCTATGGCGCCAACCGTGCCAGTCCTGTTCACCCAGTGGTCCCATCCATAGGCAAAGACAGGAACCCAGCCCTTCGTGACTAGCCCCTGAACAAGGACGAACATACAAAAGGCGAATGGAACGAGTGCAAATGGTAAATGAAGGATGACAGCCGCCGCCGTCGGAAAGGTCTCCTGGCACCACCTCAGCGCATCTTGGCCCAGGGACTGTAGAGTGGCCGGCCCGCGTGGCATTTGGACCGACGACAACGAGTTCTGGCGCCTTCTCTCCACGTCTTCGTCAGAAGAGGGCACGAAGAGTCCCTCGGGTGGCGTTTCAGTGACGACCTGGTTCTGTCCGCTCTTCTCCCCAAGCGAACTGCCATCGCTCGTTGAATTCTGTTGCTCCTGTTTCTCCGCATCCGCAGGTTGTGATAGCATTGAGAGCTCCACGTTGGCTGAAGACATCGCGGCGAGGGCGCGAGCATCAGTGTCTTCGGTCAAGAGGATTGTTGGAGTTGAGACTAGTCCGCGGGCGGGTGGGCTTAGTACTTTCGTGCCATCTCCCTCGTTCAGGTTGCTGATTTCCTTGGGAGTATCGTCAAGCTCATGATCGTCACCCAGATCTGGGGATTGGACCTCCTTTGACGTGAAGCCTGGAGAGAACGAGCCGGCTCCATGCTTCGCCCCGTCTTGCAGTCCAGTCTGGGCAACAGACTGTCGCCTCGATTCGTCGGCTAGGATTCGCTCGGCGCGCGCATTCTCAAATTCCAGTCTGCCTTTTCTCGCAATCTCGCGCGTTTCTTTCCGGTGATACCATCCAAAGCCGAGATCCCAGCAGAACATGACGAAAGCCGCCGGCAGGGTGACCCAAAACACGGGATGAGCGCCGCTTTTGGTGCTTGCGGCGTTGATTGCCAGCACCGTGATGAGGGTGGCCGCCATGATGACGGCTCCGAATGCCGCTCCGCCCTTGTCTAGAAAGGGATTCATGATCTCTTCGAGAGACAACAACTTTCCTTCGTCATTGTTGGCGAGGTCCGCCTCATCTGCATCGGTATGGCCCCTCGCGTGCGGGATATTGGGATTGACGGGCTTCTTGGCCTTGACGTGGTCTGGGAGTTCGTGCAATTCGATCGAATGGGGGATCAGGTCCTCGTTGGCAAAGACAACGTAGAGCAGAAACGGAAAGAGAACGATGGCGGTGGCAACCACAGGAACGATCATGTTGGCCGTGTAGTTGATGAACTTGATGTTGAAGGCCCCCGCGAGCACAAGATTCGTCGGGTTGGAAGACACCAGAATGGCAGAGGCAACATTTGCAATTGCGAATTGGGTATGAATCCACGCTCTGGGGTGTACAATGTTGCTTGACACCCGCGTCATATACGCCAGAAAGGCAGTCCCCGACAGGATAATTGGATCGTTTCCGATGAAGCTGCCCAGAACGAAAAAGAAGGCGTAGAGGTAGAAGAAAAGCCGATGTCCGACCTCTCCTCCCCATTGGAGCACCCTGAAGGCCAGATAGCGGATGAGACCAGATGCGTCGATGGAAATGGCGATGTAGGCCAGCGTGAGAAAGAAGACCATGATGTCGATTGGCGAAATGTTGTCAGCGCCAATGGTGCCATCGTGGACTTCCTGCCGGCCAATGGCCTGAATGGCCAGCAGAAACAGGTCCGCGATGAGAGGCGCAGTGACAAAGTTCATCGGAAAGTTGAGCCGCACCCAGGGCTTGATCTTGCCATTGTTGTCGTTGTCATCATTGAGCGCCAGCGGAGGTGAGCGAAACTTTCTCTTCGGGATGATTCTCAGGGCTGCAACGGCGTCCAGGAAGCGATCCCAGAGTTTCCTGGGCACGAAGATGGGGATGGGAAACGGACAAAGAACGTTGATATCTGGGAAAGGGGAGATGATCAGCAGTCTGACAACAGAAGTGTAGCCCAGAGCTGTGCTCCGAGATTGCCCTGGAGTTGAAGCTGTGCCGGTGAGGCGAATCGACCTACTTGTGAGAATAAACACAATCAGCGTGATGATGGAGCGCCAGTCTCTGATCTGGCTCGTCGAGAGCGAATCGCCGTCATCCCGCGCCATGTCGGTAATGAGAGATGAGCTCTGTTGAGCCCGACGATGGTTCGCCGTGTCCCTGGCTCGGGTCTGGCTGAGCGCCAAAAGAGAGAGATAAAAGGAGGCCGGGTTCAATGACGTTGGAAGTTTCGATCTGGTTTCTCACCGTCGCCACCTACAAATTCTTTGCGGTCAAAGGCGGTCGGGCTCCAGTTCTGGTGTATGTGGTGCTGTCCAGCAGCTTCTCGAGCCGTTCTAGGCAGTGTCCGACGGCTTCAGCACACGACTTTAGCGCTCGGTCAGCGAATACAGGCGTCCACAGGCCCTAAGCAACCACTGAAGAATTGGGGGTCCTTATCCACACCGACTTCCAAGTTTGAGATGGGTCATGAACGTTCCGCAGTCCAGCTTCCTCTTCTTACTTCTCTCCTCCAGCATTCGGCAGACGAGAGGAGAAATATCGTCACTCTTGCAACCAACCACCAGCGAACCTGCGATCCGTCGAATTTGCTTCTTATACTCCCGCCTCGGTTCGAGCCCCGCGCAAGTGCCAGAAACCGGGCTCTTGGCCTTCTTAGCTCATGCGACAGACTCCTCCACGTGCATCTGGCTCTGGGATGGCGGCCACCCAGAAGCAAACAACAAGCGATGACTTCGCTGGTCCGAGTCCCTTGACTAAACCCTGGCTAATACTGCGGATAATGCAGCCAAGCAACCTTTCTGGCAACGGGGCAAACAAACCTCAGCCCGTCTGGGTCACCGAATCCTTGATACCTTATATATGCCTGCTGCACAAAGCACGGCTCGAAGGGATGTGCTGCAGCTCTCGTGCTTGGTCTGGGGTGGCGCCACTTGCGCGACCCTCGACATCAGTCTCGAGACTGGGCTTCCAGAAGGGATGACGAGCACAGACGGGACAAGGGCCATCGTTCAAGACGAGGCTCTGGTGCAGCCCCAGAGTGTTGCTGACAGTAGCAATGGTTGACGATCCCATCTCGGGGTAGTGGAGCGCCTACTGTAGAGACCGGGGCTGGCAAGCAGGACAAACTCGACATCGAGCCGGACGATCAAGCCCATCTTTGGCCCATCAGCTGCTGCCAGTTGGTCTGTGTTACCCCCCTCAGCTCGGGCAATCATGGCTGTGCTCGTCTCGTCTATGCCTCATCCAGCCGGCTGCAGCAGGGCGAGCTGGCTTATTCTGTTGCCTGGGCCTCTCCCGCAGCGACCAGGTCACAGCTTGCTTGGCCGCAGAATGAGGAGACACCGAAATGGACGCACCTATGACGAACAACCGAATCCTTCCAGCGACTGTCCTCCAATATCCGAGGGGGTACTTTCGCGTCGTACATTTTAACCTGTGCAGACGCTCGTCCCTGAGCTGGCTAAAGGGGAGGCAGGGAACGATGGAAGAGCCTCATGGCAGCAAGAGATGGACTGCTCCTTCGAACCTCTGCCTCTTGGTATCAATGTCTTATAACATGCTCACTCACCACCTCCTCCCTTGCTTAGGGCGCTACCGTTTTGCACCAGCTGTTGGGGGAATTCCTGCACAGCTACCTAGTATCTAGTTGGCTTTACTGAGACACCTGCCTGCTCAGCCGCTGCACGGCGATTGCACACCCGCCAGAGAGCTGTTGAGCCGAATCCATCGGCGTCTGTCAGAAGCTGATGCCGGCGCTATCGTGGGATGCTTTGCTGAGTGATGCCATCGTCTCTCATGGCAGCAATCTGTCGGTCTCCCTCGCATCGGCAAACAATGCCACGAAGCCCGTAGAGGTCATCTGCGCATGGCCAGTCTCTGGCCAGTATGGCGCCGGATCCAGGGTTTTGTAAGTCAAGCTGATCAGTTTCGCGACACCAAGTCATTCATAGCCCAAGCAATCCACCCTTCAGACAAAAGCACCCTGCTGGTCAAGAGCGGCCCGTTCGTACACTTTCTGACTCTTCATCGACAGATACTACGTGCTAATAGCAGCATGTCTGTTTGCTCGAAGGGAGATATGGATCAAGAATGCTTGTTTGGCTGCAGCACTGCTCCTCCCAGCTGTAGCTGCTGTCCATGGCATCGTCCTGGCAGCGTTGCATCGCGACAGTAAGGGGCACTTCCCGCCTGTAGCCCAGTTGTCCAGGCTAACAGTTTTTCCATGGATAGAGGCTGTGGACATGGACGTATATGGTGCTTTCCAGCTGTGCTCAATTGGCGTTCTCGTCGTGCCAGTGACCGTCAGGCTATCCGAGACGTATCGCAATACTCCAGGTCGCAATACAATCTTTCTGTGGGCAGGCTTGCTTCTCGCAGGTAAGCATTCGAGTCAAAACAACCAGTTGACCCCTCTTTGATCCATGTTTTGGCTGCCTTCTGCATTCCAAGCACTACACGTCACCAGGAACCCCCAACGACTGACTGATCACCCTTGCATCCAGGACTACTCAGCCTCACCATTGAGTTTTACCGAGCCCAGACATTCCCCTGCAGTCAGGATGCTCAAGGCAACCCGATACCCAACAACCCCTCGAAGTTCCCTTACGGAGAAAGCACAACATGTGGACTTGTCTGCTCCGAAACAGAGGGGCCGTTCTCGCCCATGCGAAAGGGCTCATCGAGTGACATCTACGTGATTCCTGCGCCCAGCCGGCTCACGTTCGGCACGGCGACACTCCTCGCGGCCGCGTGCTGCGTCCACACAATTGTCTGGATGGCATCTATGGCGGAACTGGTGTTTGAGGATAACTGGAAATCACCCTTTGGCATCAAAGTCGACGATAGCCAGGCTGACGAGCAAATTCCGGGCACCAACGGTGCAACAAAGAAGACTATGAGGGATGTCAACGCCATGATTCGCTTTTTCCTCTCTGTAGTGGCGGTTCCCATCTTTGGGGGTGCCGGGCTTGCCATTCTCATTATCGGCGAGATCAACTTCTTCAGTGGTCCAGTCAGTTACCAAGTTGAGTCGCTGGCCAGCATTGGTGAGTACTCGGAAGCTTTTCCAGCAGTTGACACAGAGGCGGATATTCTCTTTCACAAGGTACTGACTAAGTAAAGGACAATGGTCACCTATTGTCGGAACGGGATTGGCAGTCATCGGATCGCTTTATCTTGTCCTTGCCGCTGATGTGAATGCCGTCAAAGAAGAGTCTGGCTCCATCGGTGGTTGTCCTTGCACATGTTGCTCGCATCATGGTCCTGACCCAGACAATTCTCACGGGCAATCTATAGCATTATGCTCTTCGAGCGGCAGCAGTCCTGGATCGCACTCCTCGGAGGACGGGTACACCACAGAAACACCCGGATCAAGCACTTTTCCAGAAATGGGACAAACTGACACGGAATCTGCTGTCCCCTTGCACAATGTCGACCGGGTGCAAACTACGCAAACCAGCGCTTCCACTAATGCATCGGTGACCATGCAGCGACACACGTCTTCGAACAGCACAGTCAGGCCACCATCCACGACAGGCTCCAGTAGCAGACGAAGGGTTGCTAAAATCATTGTCTCCGTGGGCGAAACACTCGGCTCCAAGGCGCACAATCTGGTTGATGACTCCGAGTTCAGAAGAGGAAAAGCAGTGGATTGGCCCGAGACACCAGGAGAGCCATGGAGAAATAAGGAGCTCCGCATCACACGCGCCCTATATAACCCTAGTCGAGATGCAGATGGGAACGCCACCCCGCTGCCACGCTCCCCTTCGCGAGCGGGTAGCTCTAGGGGAGATGCCAGAGGGCGGTCCCCTCGGCCGGGGCTATCGCCGTCTCGCTCACATTCCCCCACGCGACCGCCTCCTGCTGTAGCTCGACAGCAGCGAGCTGGTACACTGCCGGAAACACCGACTTTCAGACGTCATGATCACCACCCACCACCTCTACCTCTTCTTGCTCAGGAGCGCCAGAGGGCGCGAAGCGATACACTCGAAGTTCCATCTGTAAGCCATGACACTTCACCTCAAAACCGTTATCTGCAAGCGGTGATGAGCGGGGGGCAAGGTTCATTGCAAGACTTGCAGAGCAGTGACAGTGACGTTGACGAGAAACCTCCCGCTGTACCGGGCGAGAAAAAGCCTGCCGTCTCGTCCCCAGAAGTGCCACCATTATCTTCATCATCATAGTTGTACATTTCGATTAACAATGTGTATTATATCGGCATGCTCCCAGTCAGCCGCATTTCATTACCAAGCATTAAGAATTGGGCGTTGTGGTTTTCCCTCTTTCTCTTTGTTCTTTCACATTAGGGTTGAACGGCATCGTTATTTGACAGGTTCTGAGCTCGGGAAGGATACAGCATGTTTAAGACAAGTTTCATAGAGGTTAGAATGATATCCGTTACGTTTGTTGATATTATCAAGTTTGCGACGTTAAAGAAGGCAAGGTTGTTGAAACTTGATGGAACAAAGCACAAGTAGAAGAACGAGCCCTATCCTCGTGACGTCCCTACTGATATTAATACCGAGCTCCTTCTTGACGCCCATCTTGACGTCCAGCTTGAAAGCCGTCTTAACTCGCCAAGCCTCGACCTAGCTACATCTTGACAAAGAGTAAGAGCCATTCCACCGAAAGAGCAAGCAAACAAAGATTGATTGCAAACAGACACGTAATTGTAACTCCTGCGTGCGTACCAAAGTTGCTATTACCGCAAAGAGCCTTTTGTTCAAATGTCAAGAAGTCTCGTCCAATTCGGCTGAAACTACGAGAACAATCAAACAAGACGCTTGAGAGGACATATAATACGATTCAACATGTTAAATAAAACTAAATCATAGTAGAAGCGTTTATGTTGTATCTAGACTATTGAAGGCCTAGAAGGATATACATCGCTTCATGTTGTTCGTTCGACCTTTTCCTCGTAGTTGGCTCTCATCAGCCGTCACGTAGATCAGAATAAGACGTGATGCATATTATCGTCACAGTAATTGCCTTTTCTACTCCCGTTTGTGATTCGGCGACGAAACGGGATTACAATACCAAGATGTTGTGATAAGCACAGGCGGAATACACTTGAAGAAGATCATGACAAGAATTCTACTATTTATTCGCGCCACTCATCACCAAAACACTTTGTCCATCCCATGCTAACCCTTCTTGTTTGTTACTACCGTCAAGATCTTGCTTCTCTCTGCCAAGTTTGCAACGATATGCAAGCAAAACCAAGAGTGAATCTGCCTCCCACGCGTCCCCTCCAACATCTATTCCAATCTCAGCCCCGGCGCATTCTACCTAGCTGAGTACCTAGGCAGAACGCCCTCTCTTCTCAACTCTATCCATGACCATAAAAAGATACCCAAGATGGAACTAAGCCCCTCACAAACTAAAGGGGCAGCCAAGACAATGTTGAGCGCCGAAACAACCATACAAGCAATGGTATAAGAGGCATTCCGCCCTTCCTCATTAGCCTCAAACCTCCTGAGCCACCGAATGTATGGAAAGAGGAGTACGATATGAGGTATCACGTTAAGGACGCGGGTATAACGCAGCCGACTAGGTTTCTCAGAGCTTGACGGGTCCTGGAATCCAGGACTCGTAGACTCATTTCTCATCCACCATGCCAAGACTATGGCACAGCAAGCATTGCACACCATCGCCAGCGCACTCCCCAAGTGATATGCTGCGTCAAAGGCGTAGAAGACTATGGCCATGAGGCAGTATCTTCGATCGATTTTCCGGTGCTGCTGGTCAAGTTCGTGGTCGCGGATGTCTCGCAGCCAGATGGAGAGTATGATGAGCCCGGTCGCGAAGGAAGTGTGGAACAGCCATCGAAGGAATGGTATGAGCAGAGCGAGCCCTAACGCGGCATCTTCAGCCTCGATGGCCATGATGCAGGGTGTAGGAGTGTAGGGAGAGATGAATATGCGACTTTGCTGGATATGCTGGGGGCGAAGAGAAAGGACGGTGGTAGTTGGTGATAACGAAACAGCCCGTTAACGGATTTGGAGAGAATGGATATAGTAAAGACTTGGCTTGTTGTTTGCTGTTTGAGACTCTGAGCATCAACAGGACACTGAGTCACCACAACGAATCTCGCTATCACTGATGAAGTGAAAGAAGGGAAGGCTTTTCAGTGAATAAGCAAGAGCAGTCAGCATGTGTTATATCTGGCGTCTTTTCATTGTCGACAAAGCCCATGCTCAGGGACATCCCACAATCACCTTGGCTATTTCAGGGGCAAACGAATGCATCTACCTACTGTGTTTAGACATAGATACATTCCGATTGCCATGTACAAACGCGCTTCCCGAACGCTGCAAGATATTTCAGGCATCATGGCAGATGCTCATCTGACCAATCGAGTCTGAGGGCATGCCCTTGAAGCTGTTTGATGGTTTCTTTGTCTTGGTAGAGGGATCCAACCAACCAACGAACCCAAACTTTCCGAAACCGACAGCTAAAGAATTTGTTTCTGTTTTTAGCTTCCAAGCAATGGCACAGAAGCATTGTCTCGCCTCTGATTAGTTTTCAATCGAGGGTGGCAGGAGATATTAAGCCACTCTTCCTTTGAAGCCAACTCACCCGCCCTGCACAACAATAATGGAAGTCTATATCACTTTTGATACGATGAACTTCAATGAAATGCTATTTATGCGTTTGTTACTCTGAGAGAAAGCGACCAGATGCAATAGTAGCTTTGCAGAATTGTCTTTCTGATGTTTGAACTATTACAGGCCGTTTGATAAAAGGATCAGATCCAGGTGGTTACGCTTCATCTCGATATAGGCACAACCTTTATCAGGCTACAGAAGCATCCGACTGACAAGTTATACCAATGCTGTCAGGAGATATAAGATCCATCCTCTGTCTCCTCCTTCATACTGGGGATGTACACTGTTTCAACAGATGGTATTAGCGATTCACTAGTTACCTTTTTTATTCTCATAGGGCACCATTCAAAAAGACCCCTAATGGGATGACGTCACCGTTATATCACTCCCACTAGGTAGGTACCCAGACATGACGATGCTCTGAGCTCTCCTTCAATCAATCAGCCTCAGCTTTAACAGCAGTTCGACAGATGTCACTCGCAAAACAGGATTTGCTCAAGCATTACTCCGTAGGTAAGAGCTAAAACAACATTACATACCCTCCGCAGCTCAATGCACCTGCCATTGGGTTCCCCGACTTAAACTGCAGGGTACCTGCATCGTCCCCTCCCGGCTCGCCACTCAACTCACTTTGACTTACACAAACTCACAGAACTCACTCAGCTCACAACTCACACAGTTCACGACTCACCAACAATCGAGCAACTGAAAACATCTCAGAACTACTCAAACCGGACTCACACAACCCCCCCGACCAACTTCAACATCACCAACTGTACACCACACAAATACCAGCACCAGCACCAGCACCAGCAATGGACGTCCTCTTCTCCATACCCATGATATCCTACTTCCTCGGCCCAGCCCTCACCTCCTGGTCCACCTCCCTCAACCTCCTCTTCTTCTACATGACCTGGTCAACCCTGGTCCTCTCCCAACCGCCGCTCGTCGTCCACACAGCCGGCATCCTCGCCATCCGCATCGTCTTCTTCCTCCTCCCCTCCCTCGCCACCCTCCTCTTCGACGTCTCCCTCCCCTCCCTCGCAGAAGGCATCAAGCACGGCGGCCGCAGCGCCCTGCCCCCGCGCGACGCCAAATCCCTCTCCCGCCTCGTCGGCCTCGTCCTCCTCAACATGGCCATCCTCACCGCCGTCGAAGCCGGCATCGACTTCGCCTTCACCCACTTCTTCTTCAAGGAGCCCATCTTCAAAACAGCCACCACGTTGCCTCTGCCGTGGCAAATCTTCAAACACGTCCTCATCCTCCTCTCCGCGCGCGAATCCCTCCTCTACGCCATCCACCGCTTCGTCCTGCACACCAAGTCCTCAAACGCAACCTTGCGCGCCCTCTCCAAACGCCATCAAAAGTACGCCCACGCAAAGGCCGGAGCACCCTTCAGCCTCCGCCTCCTCGCGGACCATCCGCTTCCCTTGCTATGCTACAAGTTCATCCCGCTCTTCCTCCCCGCGGCCCTTCTCCGGCCTCACATCCTCACTTATTTCCTCGTCTTCCTGCTCTGCACCGGCGAGGAAACGCTCGCAATGTCGGGTTACACCATTGTCCCCGGCATCATCATGGGGGGCATCGTGCAGCGCACGGCTATCCACTACGCGGGCAAGGGGACGTCCAACTATGGCTCGTGGGGGATCCTGGACTGGATCAACGGGACGAGTCGCGGTAGGGATGTGCTGGAGGACGTCAAGAAGGAGGCGGATAAGCATCAGCTGCAGGAACGGTCTGCGAAGAAGGTAAACCAGGGGGCTGGGGCCGTCCAGGAGGGTTTTGACAACTTCAGGGAGGGGGTGAGGACAAGGAGAGGGGGGAGGAAGAAGGCTTCGCAGTGATTACGGGGTTGTTTGCCTTTTCTCTCTCTCTCTCTCTCTCTCTCTCTTTTTTCTTTTTTTTGTTCTTATCGTTCCGTTTTTGGTTATGAGCAACCTTGATACCACTATAAGTCTGTTTACTGAAAAGTCACATTGTTACCCGCTGTCATCATTTCGGCTTTGCTAAATCAGCGATCAAGAAGTTGCTGTATGTGCCCTATACGTGAGCTGTGAATATCTGTGAAATCAGCCTCCCAACCATGCCTGGGTTGTCCTCTTTGACGGACACCTCCCTCTAGTAAGTCTATAACACTTACTCCCCCAGCATAAAACGCCGTATGAGCCGTCCGTATGTGTATATGATCAACAATCTAGCAAACACCCCAGATCCAGTTTACCCCATCTAGAAAACCTCTCGCTTATCCAGATAAACCCATTCCAACCTCTTTATCTTTTTGTCCTTTACCAGCCATTCTTCTTTTTGAACCAAGCAAGCGTCTCCAGGCCGCTCGTCGCCCTCAGGCCAATTCTGGCGTCCAAAACGTACGCCTCCCAGACCTTGACCTTGTTGATCTGCTCTTCGCACTCCAGCATCTTCTTCCTCCTGTACTCGAGGATTCCCTCCTGGACGCCCTCGGGGGGGTTGCAGCACTCGGTCCATGAGATGGCGCCCATTTCGTAGATTGCTGCTGGCATGACATAGTCGTCTTTCATCGTGCCTTTGAAGACGGTCCTAGAGCATCGTCAGTATTGTATTATTACACTTTCTCGATACAGGAGAAACAATGACTTACTTGTCATGGGCAAGAATCTTGTCCTGCAAGAGTGCCCTCGCCTCATCCAGCTTACCCGCGCCTCTCAATAGCGAGGCCCTGCCTATAGCCCAAACACCCATCTCGTCCTTTTCCTCCTGGATCTTGGCGACGACTTCTTTACTTGCCGTGCACCGCTCCCAGTTTAGGTAGTCCAGTCCCTTCTCCAACTCTCTGGGGCCCATGCGCTTCTGTCCGTTCCATACGTAGCACATCTCCAACGCCGGACTGGAGCCGATCGCATCCGCCAGGTCAATGCCCAGAGCCTTTGCCCGGTCTTCCCACTTCTGGACCTTGCGCTGTAGGAAAGTCTCCAGGGGCAGCTGGCGTGCCATCAATCGCTTCTTGCCAATGACGGTCGGGGCCTTGCGGTAGAACTCCTCAGTCTTGTTCTTCTGTCGCCTCGCCTCGTCCTTGTCGCCTGCATGGAATGCATTTCGGTATAGCTCCAGGGATGCGCAACCAGCCAGGTAGTAGTACAGTGACGGACTCCAGTCGTTGACCTCGAGGCACTTTAAGAACGAATCGCGCATCAGCTCCCACTCAAACGCAAACATGCCATCCAGAGACAGTTCAAAGTTGTTCAGAGCAGCGACCTGCTTCATCTTGGACTCCTTGCCCGTCTGGAGCAGCTCCAGCGCCTCAGAGAGCTTGCGCTCGTTGGCGAGCATTCTCGACTCCTCCACTCTCCACAGGCGCGAATCCGGATATCGAGATCGCATGTTGGCCAGCAGCCTCTCGCACTTTTCAATCGGCGGTCCCACAGCTTCGGCATCGTCATCGTAGTCTTTCTGGTCGGGGAGGATATCCGCAGCTCCGAGCAGACCGTTGTAAAACACCAGCAGCATCATACCGGCAACAGCACCATTAATGTTGGAGTGCGCGGCAGATTTCCAGAGCATCTTGACGGCCCGTGATCGATCTCCGTGGAAGCCAACAACGGAGAGGATGCGTGAGAAAGCAGGCGGGATAAGGCTGAGGATCAGTAGAAGAACTCCAAAGCACATGTTGGCTCCGGAATGGATGAACTTGTCGACGGGGTTGCCCAGCTCCAAATCTGAGCTCAGATCGGAATCCTTGGACCCCAGGCTCTCCTTGGACGCACCCTCCAGCTTGCCCAGGTTCAGCTTTTCCAGCTGCGAGATGGTCGACGCTGGCAAGGCATCGATCTGGTCACTGGGGGTCTGCTGTCCAGATAGAGTCTCTCTGGCATCGACAAAGGCATCCGCGTCACTACCGTTAACTATTGTCGCACTCGATTCCGACCAGGAGGAATCGCTGGCTGACGAGCTACCCGTCAGAGACGTCCGAGAGGACCCGGGCGTCGTCTTGCCAAAGATCTTGGCCTCAGACGCCACGATGGCGTCGAGCGTCAGAAACGCCTTTCGCAGCTTGTAGAAGCTCCGCATGGCCTCGACCAGGCTCTCGTGCAGCACGCCGACGACGGCGCCCATCAGCTGCGTCTCGGCAATGATGAGTTCGTACTCGGTCCCCGGGGGATACAGCTGGCTGCCGTTGTAGGCGGGCCCGTGCTTCTGCGCGCGCTTGAGGTCTGCCCAGGCCCTGTTCTCGCAGTCGTTGAGCCTCGCCGTGGCCTCGGTCATGACCTGCTTCTCGAAGCCCAGGACGGAGCGCATGAAGAAGGCCACGGCGGAGCCCATCTCGTGAAAGGACGAGTCGCCCAGCTGCAGCTTCTCCCAGGCGCCGTCAATGTCGTCGTTCATGATGAGCTCGACCCATTTCATGGCGTCAACCAGGTTCGCCTTCTCCTTGTTGATGCTGTCCATGGGCGAGGGCGACTCGGCGCCGCTGCCGGGTTTCGCACCGGAGCGGAACCATCCTGCCAGCCGACTCATGGCAAGCAATTGGTCTTGTTTGGTTTCCTTTTCGTTCTTCCTTGCTTCGTTTCCTTTCTTTTCTTTCCCTGGTTCTAGTTCCTGATGATGCTGACGGTGAGGTTGACAATGAGGTCGATGATCAAAGAGGAGGGCGAGCCGTATGAATATGAAGGAGCAACAAACCCCGGCTGACTGATGCAAGATGCTGACTCCCACAAGCAAGGATTCCGTCGCCCAAATCCTTCCTGTCCTGCGTGCTCTACTCGGGGCACCTTTCCAATCGAGGAGGGGGGGCTGTGGCTCAGCTAAATACTCGGTGACGAGGCCCTCGAGGCATGAAGCGAGTGACAGGTGATAGGGCACAGCTGCGTCGACTCAACAAGCCCGCATCGAGAAACACAAATTGAAGAAAAAAACGGCGCCAAAAAAGTTTAGAGACTTCAGAAAAAAACGACGCTTATGCCATGCAAGCACCCCTCCAAGTCACTCGATTTGCTGGCAGATGCTGTGCCATAGAGCGATGCCCAACAGCCGTAAGCGGGATCGACCAATGCCGGAGCAGGTTGGCTACCTTTGCTCGAAGCGAAGATGGACTCCGTTCAATGCCCTCTTCGAGATGTTTACCTGGGAAGAGAAGCCTCGAAGCGAAAGGCGAGCTGGGTAGTTGTAATAGACGAGGTGCAAAAGAGAGAAAAAAGAAGCGAATCGAAGTCCAAGTTTTGCCCGTGGGGTCTCCAAAAAGAGCCATCCATACAGTAACGGCAAGGTCAATAAGTAAGAGGAAAGGTGTAAGGTACATGTACCTGATATGTAGTCTAGGGCCCGCTGCCAGTCTTACAAGCAGCCTTGAAGCCTGTTTATCGCCTCTTTTTATCACTTCGCCTTCGTATCCCGGACCCGTCTCTACCTACCTATATATCCTCTTCCCTAGGGCAAATCAATGCAGCGCTTCCGCTCGGTAATAAAAACGCTCAGGCCGAAATACGCTCGCCGTCATCTTTGTCTGCGGCATTTCGGAGCCGGCGTCCGCTAGTTCACTCAAATCCCAGGAGATGGCTGAGGCGATGCCAGACAAAGACCGTCTAGGTACTGCGAGGCTTACTCGAGATACGGGGTCCGGACTTGGTGAACACACCGTCCACTGACACAATCTCACCTTGCTATCATCTCGTATTGATACAATAGACACGATCCTTTGGGAGCACTTGTAACCACACAAGAGCCATCATCGCTTCACAGACGAGCACAGTACTGTATCAGAGACTCATTCAGAGAAAATAAGATCATTTGCCGCCTCATCCGTCATAACCTGATCAATTGACTCAATGTTAGCACAAAGCCCAAATCGCCACCACTTTCAGTGCAAGGCCCATCTGCCCGCTCAATCAGAACCCCTAGAACCCCTCCACGATGGCGCTCTAAAGTCCGCCAGGCCTCAACTGTGCAGCTTCCCCAAACCGGCAAAACCGGTAAGCGCTCAGGCACCTCCGGCACTAAAGGCCCGAGATTTACAGGGCTGTCTTTACTGCCTTTTGGCCTTCAGATCCAGGCTGTCTGTCTACATACATGTACCTAACCTACTAGACCGTCCAACGCAGCCCGGACCTGCGTTCTTCCGTACCGGTGCTCATTCAAGCTCAGCCGTCCTTCTGCCATTCTTACTGGACGGAGGCCCTCAATTATGGGAGCTGGAGGTGCTTCTCCTTCCAGGAAACAGCAGCTATTCGTCATCCCTCCTCCAACAAATCAGGCCAAAGTTCGAACAACCAACTGCTAGCCGCCGAATCCTTGCAACAACAATCAACACGCCAGACACCGCGACTCGATCCAGCCTCGACAGCCTCTCCCTTCTTCCTCCGAACTGGTCATCCATAAGCATCACCGCCATTGCCATCGACAGCTCCTCGCCATCTCCAATCCCGCGATCCTCCCATCTCAGGCATCAACTCCCTCGAATCCACCACCAGCCTTCATCCCTCCCTCCCGCCCCTTCAAAGCTCGCATCCATCACGAACCATGGCATCAACCACAGAAACCAAGCCAACCGAACCCGAACAGCTCAACGCCAACGAGCAGAAGCCCGAGCAGAAGCACCTGGCCCTCGGCGAAGACGACGAATTCGAAGACTTTCCCATCGACGGTACTTGGCAATCCATCCCTCCTCCTCCTCCTCCTCCTCCTCCTGCTTGATCCCTCCATCTCCTGCTTTCTTCCTCTCTCTCTCTCCCCTCAAGGCACCCATCCCATCTTCTCTCTCCCTCTCACCTTCTCCTCCTTTTCTTGATTCTTGATTCAAATAAACAAAGGGAACAAGTTTTAATGACAAAGCATAATAGACTGGCCCGCCGACCAAACCGAGGCCGCCCAGCGCAACGGCGAGACCAAGCATCTGTGGGAGGAGAGCTGGGACGACGACGACACGAGCGACGACTTTTCGAATCAGCTCAAGTGGGTGGTTGGCTCTCTCCTTGTTTCTACTATTCTCCTCACCGCGCTGTCGCTCGACTTTCGCCCCCGTCGCCGCTTTCGTTGAATCCATACACACACACACTTTCTCCTTTTTACACACCGAATTGCTGTTTCTATCCGCGTTTTGTTACCATGCTTGCTTGCTTTCCTTCCTACATCTATCGCATCTTTTCCTTGGTGTTTATACAGGATTATACTGCCTATTTACTTAATGTCTTATTGGGATGGATCATACCTATACATACATGTCTTTAGAACGCTTGCTTTTTTTTTTTCACATCTGCTTGTTTGTTCATTTGTTTGTTCATTTGCTTTTTCCTGTTTGCTGCTTCTCATTTCATTCCTTAAGAGTACACGATCCTGACGTGTTTTCTTTTACAGGGAAGAGCTGAAAAAGGTAGAGGCGGCCAAGCGGAGGTAATCCGAGGACGGGAGAAAGACGCTACGAGGACATCGGGCGAACCAAATCGCGTCATGGACATATCAGGCATGATGAGCATATAGAGACTTGATGGAGCAATAAAAAAGAATAACCATGTCCATGACATTTTTGAGCCGTGAAAACGCGCTGTTGACAATTTAAGCCATTGACAAACATAAGTATTCACAATTGTTGCTTTCACGCCAAGACGCGGTATACACGATATATAGGTAGGTGGAGATAATTGTGCCATTAACATTGTTCATTTGGTGATAACACTAGGTATTTTGTATGTAGTATGTTTTGTGTCATCATAGACGGGATGATCCGAGCCGACCTTTTCGCCATCTCTCCCGTCATCATTTTTCGCTCTTTCGTGTCGACTGCCCGAGTGTAGATTTACTTACTAGACAGAGCAACAACACCAGGCAGCTCCTTGCCCTCCAGCAGCTCCAAGCTGGCACCACCGCCGGTGGAGACGTGGCTCAGCTTGTCCTCGACGCCGTACTTGGCGGCAACGGTGGCCGTGTCACCACCGCCGATAATGACAATCTTGCCGTTCTTGCAGCCCTCGACGACGGCGTCGAGCGTGGCCTTGGTGCCGTTGGCGAACTTGTCAAACTCAAAGACGCCGGCGGGGCCGTTCCAGAGGATGGTCTTGGCGTCGGCAATGGCCTCCTTGTACAGCTCAATCGACTTCTCGCCGCAGTCGAGGCCCATCCAGCCGTCGGGGATGCCGCTCTCGTCGGTGGCGGTGCCGGTGTTGGCGTCCTTGTCGAACTTGTCGGCGGTGATGTAGTCGACGGGCAGGACCAGCTTGACGTTCTTGGCCTTGGCCTTCTCGACCAGCTGGGGCACCGTCTTGGCGCCGGCCTCGTCGAAGAGGGAGGTGCCGATGGGGATGTTGTTGAGGACCTTCTTGAAGGTGAAGGCCATGCCGCCGCAGACAATGAGGGTGTCGACCTTGTCGAGCAGGTTGTCGATGAGCTGGATCTTGTCAGAGACCTTGGCGCCGCCGAGGATGGCGAGGAAGGGGCGCTGAGGAGACTCGAGGGCCTTGGCGAAGTAGTCGAGCTCCTTCTTCATGAGGAAGCCAGCGGCCTTTTGGGGCAGGTCAACGCCGACCATGGAAGAGTGAGCACGGTGGGCAGTGCCGAAAGCATCGTCTATTTTTCCACACACACGATTAGTCGTCTGCCGAGGAGCCAGATATAGACATGGAAGAGGTGCACTTGTACTTACTGATGTAGATGTCGCCCAGAGCAGTCAGGCCCTTGCGGAACTCCTCAACCTTGGCCTTGTCAGCCTTGGTCTTGTTGCCGTCCTTGTCCTTGGCGCTGCCCTCCTCCTCAATGTGGAAGCGGAGGTTCTCCAGCAGGATGACGGCACCGTTGTCGGCGCCGTTGACAATGGACTCGACCTCGGGGCCGACGCAGTCGGGGGCAAAGGTGACGGGCTTGCCCAGCAGGCGCTCGAGCTCGGGGACGACGGGCTTGAGGGAGTACTTGGGGTTGACGGCGCCGTTGGGGCGGCCGAGGTGGGACATGAGGACGACGGCCTTGGCGCCATTGTCGAGGGCGTGCTTGATGGTCGGGATGGCGCCGACGATGCGCTGGTTGTTTGTGATTTTCTTGTTCTCGTCGAGGGGGACGTTGAAGTCGACCTAAAGAGGCGTGGAACACAGCTGTTAGCGAGCTGTGCATAGTATCAAAGGTGTTGCGCATCTTCTACAGTGCTCCATTCGTCTTCAATGGCCCTCTCCAGCTGAGCTCGAGGCCCGTGCAAGAGCTTCGAAGCTCTGCCATCTCCCCATCATTCTCTCCAATGCTTCTCTTGGAACCCCTCCATGCAGCTGCAACGGCGGGGCAAAGCCGGACTCACCCGAATCAGGACCCTCTTGCCCTTGAGGTCGACATCGGTGATGGACAGCTTGTTAGACAGAGACATTTTGGCAGGAAATCGGCGTGGATAGCGAGAAAAGAGTCGCGCTGTTAGGGAAATCGTGATGAAGAAGTTATATGGAGGAGACGAAAGAGAGAGAGAGAAAATCAAGCCGAGATGCTCTGGGAAAGAAAAAGCACGCACAATCAAGCTGCAACGATAGGCAAGCTTGGAGGGGCGAGGTGGGGTCGTGAGCAATCCGGATAGATTACAGCAATCGATTGCCTTCGTTACAGGGGGGGTTTCAGTCGCTGGCAGCTGTGGTGGGGGATATGGAGCCTCTGTAACAGTTGGAACCCGACCTGAACAGCTCAAGCAGCCGTTGATATGTAACCTTCAAGGTTCATTCCGTCCATCCATCTGTTCCAGCTCGACCACGCCAGAGTGACGTGAGCTTCATTCGACGGTCAAAATCATGCCGAGGGTGTCGCCATCTGTCGCCTTCATACGCAGTTCTGATTGATGTCCTGCAGCCTGCATTGACATCAGGCCATAATATCACTTCATCGAGGTCAATCGATTTACGTAGCAGTTTATGTGCTTGGTTACGTCAGACGCAGAGGGGTTGCGTCTACCATATTCATGTACTTCACGACCAGAACAACGAGGACGTCGGGTTGAAAGACGTAAAGCGTACCTATACATGTATCGTCGCGAATGCCAGGTTGTCTTTGTCTGCTATACACGGTTTGAGCAAATCAACTCCCCAGCCCTTCAGGTCCAACATCGACAGCAACGCGGCAGTGCATAAACGAAAGACTTGGTTGAAACTCCAAACGCCGGTACTTTGAGCGCAGACCCGCGCAGCAAAGATCCCTTCCTAAATACATGTATGACATGCGACCTTGATCTTGAAACCTCTTTTCTCGCCTCTCGCCATATACTAAAGCCAGACCCGCCCTAGGATTCTAGGTGTCGGATTCCGACTCTTTTAATCATCGCGTATATCCTCCATCATCTTGGCATCAACTAGATGCCGCAGAACGCGTGGCGTGTTAGCTCAACCTTTTTTTTTTTTTTTTGTCGTCTCGCTTCAATCGGATGCGTTGGTGAGGGAGAGGTAGGCTGTCCACGCAATACCGACAGTCGAAACGAACGGCTAACATGTCGCATTAGCAGTTGATTCATCAGATGGGTCCAGGCAGGTTACTCACCAGCTGGAATTGCACCGGCATCAAGCGAAAGTTGATGACCTGCACCGCGGGCCATACGACGTAGTTGGCCTTGAGCGTGGGAATGTACATGTCTCGCAGCTTGTGGGCAACCGCACGGCGGCCGCCTCCCTCGGCAATGGTCATGGCCGTGAAGAAGACGCCCACACCAAAGGGCGCAAAGATGAGCTGATCGCAGGCAACCCGCTTCATGGCAGGCACAAACGCGCTCCCTTTGGTGATGGGAAACATCCTCTCGAGAAGCTTGAACCATCGAAACTGCACTGGGGCCATGCAGAAACCGTACGCCATGAACCTCGTGAGTCGCTCAAAGTCGAAGGGCGGGGGCAGGCTCTTGGAGTCGGGAATGAGGTCGCGGTCGAGGAACGGATTCTTTTCGTCAAGTTCGTGGATCTCAATGGCGAAGCTATCGTCCTTGGTGACGCCGCCGGGCTTTCTAACGGCTCGCTCTCGTACGGCGGTGATGGTTTGCGCCACGGTATCAGCGATGCCACCGAGGATGGAGTTTGTGACCATCATGGTCATGACTGTGAAGCGAGAGCTGGTCAGCTGTTGATAAATTCGATTAGGCGGTTATTGAATCGTGGGCACGTACGAGGTCGTTCGTTGTAGTGCGCATTGAACCGCGCCGTCAGCCGGGCAAGGAGCGCCATTTCGATGAGAAGGACGATTGTGTGAAGGAGAGGCTGTTGGAGAGTGGACGAGTCAGTCAAGGATGGAATCACGGGAGAAGTTCAGATGATGGACGAAGAAAAAAAAAAGCAACTGCGAGAGGCGAATCTGGAGAAGTGAATCGAGCGGGTAGCCACAGGAACGAAGGACAGGAGTGGGTAAAGGCATGAGTCGTCGGGGCACGTACCAAACGGCCATAGATGTACTTGCTGTTGACGGCGCGGATGAACCGTCGTCGGTTGAGCTCCCAGGTCATGATGGCAGAAAAAGGAGAGAAGCAAGGAGTATTTGAAAGGCGATCAGGTTTTTGATGAGCAGAGCGTTTATCGTAGCCAGAGCAAGTCTCACTCGCTGCCAAGTGGATCTGGAGTTGACACGATGACGACACCGGCGCGGCCAAGGTCCTGCTTCGCACCAACAGAAATGCTCCGAGCGGTGCTGTGCGCCTGTCAATAGCGGGCTGATACAGGGGGGGGTTTTGCGATTCAGTCAAAGACGGCGCTGTACTCGTAGTAGTATGCAGCTGTCAGGATGGGGGACTGCGATTCCCGGGGGAGAAATGGGCCTCTTGAAGCGACAGTTCAGTGAGTAGTAGGTAGAGTAGGTAGGTAGAGTAAGTAGTAGGAGAGATGGAAAAAGGGAGAATTCAGAGGATGGAGGGCGAGGCAGCCAAAACGGGTGTCTCGTGCCTCTTCCTCTTCCCCACGTCCACGTCCGTCATGGGCTTGCTGTCGTAATCCGTTTTGTTTTTCGACGGGTGCATGTACTCTGTACGAGCCGCAAGCTGCCACGCACCACCTGAACCCTCGTACCAACAACTCGGAACTAGCTCTAACAGACGTCCATCCCCCCTCCTCTGGACAGCCTCATTCCTCCTCCCTTTCTTTTAGAGTAGTGCTAGGCGGGCGGTATCACTTTGCTTGGGGGGCGGTATTCCAGCCGCGCTTAGCCCGCTTAAGAAAGGTTTAGCAGCGCCCAGCCCGCCCCACTAAAATACAGTGTATAGCGCTAGCATTTATAAAATTAGTATATAACATCTCCTACCTTAGCTAACTAAATTTAAAGCTATTATAATAAGGCTATTATAATAAGGCTACTGTAATAAAAAGCGACTTCTCCTATACTGCTAACTTCCTTTAGGATTTAGGCAATAACTTTTCTTAGTTTAAAGGTCCTAGAGATAACTTTTAAAATATTAATAATAACCTTATCTATACTGCAGCCCTTAATATCTAGATTAACGCTTATAATAATAAATTTAGCCTTAGTAATAATAGCAGCTTTAGCCCCTTTAACAGTAATAATAATAATAATCTCTCTCTCCTTAAAGCTTTAAATAACACTGCCAGCCTTAGAAAAGATTGCTAAAACGCTATAAAGATTAAAGATAATGCTGCAGATAGAGATAAAGATAAAAATAAAGATAACACTATAGAGGAAGCTATAAAGGAAGCTATAAAGGAAGTTATAAAGAAAGCTATAAAGGAAGATTCTAGCTAAGAGATCCTGCTGCCGCCGCTATTATAGCTTTTTAACTTATTTAATAAACTCTTTAACTCTTTGCAGATATTCTATTATAATAACAGCACTGCTATTATTAAGAAGTCGCCTAGTAATAAAGCTAATATTAATAGTAAGGTTATTCTTATATACTATATAATTATCTATAATTAAGGAGCTTTACAGCTGCCTTATAGCACTAGGCTTAAGAAGATAGTAACTATAAAGCTTAATTATTAGTTTAAGATTATAGCATTAGCTATAAAGAAGTTAGATTAAAAGTGGACTTATTATATATTTAAGGGCTGCTATAATTATTAGGGAATATAGCATCCCTCTGCCTATAATATCTATTACTGCTAAATAAAGCAGCAGTATAAGATTAAGAATATAATATTACTGCATAAGTCCCTTAGCGCTTAGGAGATAGGCAATATTATAAAAGCGCAGTTAGCAGCTTAAGGTCCTTTATACTTTTACTAGAAAGATATTTATAATAATTAATAATGCATTTAATAGGCTAGACTAGATAGTTTAATACTAACCTAATAATAAATTAAGCTCTTATAAACTAAAGGCCTTTACTACTTTATCTGCTATAATAATTATAATCCCTAGAAGGTTAAGGCAGTCTTCTAAATATACCCTTAGTATAAGGCTATATAAAAACAGTTTCCTAAAGTTATTAGTCTTAATAATATATATAAGACTAACTGCTATAAGATATACCTTTTTTAAGTAACTAGTATATTTAACTAGAAGTCTGTAATAAACTTTACCTTTAGCCTAACTAATATTAAGAAGCAGGAGGGCTATAACTAGCTATATAGCTATTTTAATAACTTCTAGCAGTAACTTAGAATTCTAGCGCCTTAAGTTATAATCACTAATAAAGAGAAGGCATTAAAAAACGCGCTAAAGTATATTTTCCTAATTATATAGCAGCAGCTATACCTCTTTTATATTAATACTAATATCTATACTAAAATTAACTTATAATAAAAAGATAATAATAATAATAAGGCCCTAGCTAGTAAGGCCCTAGCTAGCAAGGCCTAGCAACTGTTTAAATATAGTAAGGAAGGCGTTAAAATAGCTTAAAGCTAAGTTATATTTATAAAGGAAGAGCATAACTTTAAGAAAGCCTAAAAGGCATTAGTTAATATTTTTAATAAGCAGCAGGGCGTAATTATTAACTATCTTATTAATAAATATCTCCCTTATACTAATTAATTCCTTTATTACTGCATTAAATAATATTAAAATTATAGGTAGAGGATAAATAGTCTTATAAAGACTGCCTATAAGGATTTAAAGTTATTCTTTTTAACTAGGACTAGTAACTGTTTTTATCTTTATAAAGCTATTTTATAAATAATAAAAAAGAAGGAGTGTAATTATATTTAGACTGCTATAAAGTAAGAGATAAAGCTGCAGAATAGCTTTATTAGCTAGGCATAGCTTAGTAGGCTGCCTATAGAAATTAAATATGCTATAATTAATCTCTTATACTATTAGTAATATATAGCTGCTGCTATAGCTAAAGAAGAAAGAGCCCTTCTACCTTATATGCCTAAAAGTTACACTTTTATACAGCAGTATGCCCTCCCTTATATTTATAAGATTTTATGCTAGCTAAATAAAGGCATGCCTTTAATAAAGGAGTTAATCTATCCTTAATAGTAGCTAGATAAACCCTTAGTACATTTCCTTATTAACTTTTATATAATCTCTACTAACCAGGAGTCTTAGTGCTAGGATTTAAATAAGCCGCTTTTATAAATTTATAATCTTAATATTATTATAAATTTATAAAGAAGGCTATAGCTTCCTTAAAACAGCTAGGCACCTGTTAATTGCAATTTATAACCTATATTAGGACCTAGTTTTATAGTGCAGCTAAGCACTGCAGTGCTATTAATACAGCCGCAGTTAACTCTATTAAGCTTAATCTAGCCTAGCGGCTGGTAACTGACTGCAAGTATAAAGTATACGCTTTCTGCAGCTAAGATTAAATTATTACAGGCCTTAAGCTTAAGGGCGTTATCCTAGCCGTTTATAAAAAGATTATAAATAGCAGCTAATTTAACGCCTAGAGGATCTTAAAGAGGATGTAAAAGAGGAAGAGGATAAGGATAAGGCAGCAGCCACAGCTGCAGCTAGAGCTAAGGCAGCAGGGCTTAAGAAAGCAGCGCTATTATTAATAAGGATATAGAAGAGGTTATTCTAGCTATATAGTTAGGCTTATAGGCAGCTTTATAATAGCTTTATTATATATTTTTTTATAATTATTATAATATAGATATCTTATTATAATATATCTTTTTATATACTGTTTTAGCTGCTATAACTATATACTGTATTTTAGTGTGGCCTGCTAGCATGCATAAACTACTGCTTAATTTAGCCTAGTCAGGCTGGAATACTGCCCCCTAAGTAAAGTGATACCGCCTGCCTAGCACTACTCTTCTTTTACCGCCTTAGAGTCTAAACATATTTCCAGCTTTAGTAGTCCGTCCGCGTTCAGCGATTGAGCATCTGCATCCATGCATAGGCTCCCTCAATCACTGCCAATGCCCCCTTCACCGCATTGATTGTCTGAAACCATGAAAATGGCCGCGCGCCTGCGACGCTGATCTGCAGATCGACACGCTGACAATACGAGCCATTGAGTACTTGTTACTCCTCCATAGACGTCTGAAATATCATGGATATATATACATTGAGAACACTTGCGATGAGTCTCAGCAGGTGAAGTCCAGACAAGTATGCTCAAAATCCATATGAGGACCACATGGTTTTATTCTTGCATTAGGTGAGGTGGCCATGGTGTTGAACATGGGAAACACCTTGAGCCGGTCTTATTCTCCTATTCCTCCAGGCTCTATTTCCACTCGTCACTCAAAACTTCCCCTCTATTCCAACAATCAGCTTCCAGATGTAATCCATCTGGATTTTTTCTGAGTTCACAGGGTAACAAAGAATGAGACTGTGTCTGCTTGTAGTCCGAGTACATTGAGAAATATAAGGGAAGAGTGAGCCTATCAAACAACTGGCTACTTCTTTTCTCACCTACCTTAAGGTAACCTCAAACGTGTACTTCTTCAGTACATCACACACACCTATCGAGCCGACTTCTTTGATCGTTCCTTGGCTCCTGAATCTCTAACCCTTCCACTCGATCGTTTCTTCTCAGTACTTCCTTGCTCTCTGCGAGACTTCCTCTTCTCATCTTCCGAGGCCCTCGATTCATCTCCGGTCTCACTTGAACTGTCCGTCTCGTTCGCATCACTCGCTTTCCTATGCTCCTCATCTTCCAAACTATCAGAATCATCAGACGTGGAGTCCTCCGACTCTTCAACACTCTTCCTCTTTGCCCTTTTGTTCTGACCCCTGTGGCTTCCACCACGTGCGCGACTATAGCTCTCTTCTTCCCAAGTATCTCGTCGATAGCCTTTGGTACGAGCTCTCTCAGAGAGTTCCACTCCAATCACGTCCGTAAGGTACTCATCAAATTTCGTTGATGCATCCTCCACTAAGCGAAAGTGCTTTTTCCGCAGAGTAGGGGTCTTCTTACGTTCCCCATTGCTCGCCATGCCTGTCACCTCATTCTCGGCCAGAGCGACAGCAATGTGGAATGCGTTGCGGATCTGTCTGCCATTCCACCTGATGTGTGGCTCCAGGTCTCTGTAGTGAGCTTTCGCAAACTTCCTGATATCCTCCTCTTTGATCTTCAGTAATTCCCCCTTGCGTGTCTTGATGCGCTGTAGATTCGTTTCGAAGATATCAAGCGTCGATTGTTCGTTCAAGGGGGGGTAATATAGGCTGACATGGACGCGAGATCGAAAAGCCTCGTCCATCTTTCCAACGCGATTGGTTGTGAGGAAAAGAATGCCTTGATAGTATTCTAATATCCGTAGAAATACTACATATACAGTCAGTAAAGGAAACCATACAAGATTGTTCTTCAATGGGAATGTTCGCTCCAGGGCTGACATTACCTGATACAAGGCTGTTGTGCTTTACATCGTTGCCTCTCTCACTAAGGAAGACATCGGCCTATAGATAGATTGTTTCAGTGACAGTATGATGAGAATGTGACAGCATTGATTCTCACCTCATCAAGAAGAAGGACGCATTTCCATTTCTGAGCTTGGATAAAGATACGCTTTAGTCGACCCTCAACTTCCACTGCCGTAGTGCCAAGATCTCCGCAGGTGATTGGATATAGAGGCCGCTTGCATATTTCAGCAACGCATTCTGGGTTCACATTGTTAGCTGGATATCAGTCACATGAACATGCTCAAAGACGAACATACCTGCGGTTGATGTCTTTCCGGTTCCAGGTGCGCCGTGGAGGAGGATAACGAGACCCTTGCCTACATTCCAAACAAAATCCCATCAGTATCAAGATTTTTTACATCGACTTGGGAAGTTCGTCACTGCAATTTTGGAACCGATTTTTTTCACTCACCTTTGCCGCGAATGAGGTCTGTTTGGATCTCATCCTCGGAACGCACGTTTTTCTTGTCACGAAAATGTGCTTGGACAACGGAATGCACCATATGCTTGTGACCCTCCGGAAGTACAAGGGAATTCCACGCATCCTGTTCTGGATCGGGCACATCCTTCACGTTGTTAATGTCGATAACGGCTAAATGTTTCGTTAGTCGCTGTTCACAATCATAACAAACAAGGGGCATGAGCAAGAGAAGGAAACTCACCCCATTTACGGTCCTTAAGCACAAAGGCGAAGAGCCTGTGCGGAAATAGAAACAGGTCTGCTTTAGGTATGCTATCAGGATTTCCATGAAGATAGCGAGGATCTGTAGTGAGCCAGGCCTTCTCCGCGAGAAAGTCTTCCATACGTCGGAGGTCGATGATCGAATCATCAAAGATGACTTCGTTGTCGCAGCAGTGCTTACTTCGACAGCCGGCATACGAGATCATGACGACTTCAGCCTGATTGCTGCTTGTTGGTTTGATACCAAATTCAACGGAGTGGTCCCATCCGCTGTTCTGGTCCTTGTTCTGGGGATCCCATAAAGCCGCCTGAAAGTCCACAACCACCTCGCTGTCAATCTCCTCGGCCTCGTGCAGGTTCATGCCGCGGTATTGTACATGGCTGCCTTGACATACTCTGCAAAATAATTGGCCGTTGAGCTTGAGCTTCTTCTGAACTTTTTCCTGTCTCTTGGCAAAGTCCAGAGGATAGATGGTGAGGGTTGTTATGTCTCGAAGATCGTCGAATTTTTGAATCCTGAATGAATGAGAGACGGGACCGAATCTTTGACCGTCAAAGTCTACTTGGTAACAAGTCACCACCAAGTCGCTCTCTTTGTCAGGCACCCGGTATGCCGTGGTGTAGTCGGCAACCTTACCATCCTTATCATCTTCGGGAGGTGAGAGATATGGTCGACCGCCGGTGACGTGAAAGACTCTGTACGCATTCATCGGCTCTTGTGAAGTAACCACTTCACGTCCTGGAAAAAATATGTGCCAAAGGTCTGGGAAGCTGACTTTGTTCCTAGTAACGTCCCTCAATTGTGTCAGAGACTTCAAGTCGTGGTCCATGAACTCAATCAGGCAGCCCAGTTCTTTATACGCCTGCTCAGTGCCGTACTGATCTAGAAAATCCGTGTTTTCTTCATCTCTTGAAAGTAATTTCTCTTCGCCGTCTTTCCCATCACAGAACTTGCGTTCAAGCTGTCGATGGATATGCCTGATGCGGTCGTCATAGTGCACAAGTAACTTGAAGGGCCTCAGCAGAACAACCGGACAACCATAGGAAATGAAATCCACATCGAGGGATTTCTCAAGAAGCTGTTTGAGCGGTTCTCCGTTGATGCGGATACGGTGAGGTATAGGGGGAGAAACATGACCGAAAAATTCATGCGTCTTGATACCAGGTGCCTTCGTATCCGTTGGGCCGGCAAATTCGGGCATATCCTGAATGCCATCAAAGAGTTGGAAGGTCGTGGATTGACGACGCCTCTCGATAGAACAGAGTGGATTCTTTCGAAGTTGCGCATTTCTCCATACATCGTGGGGGATGACGGGATCGCCGACTAGGACGTCTATGGCATGCTCATCGTTGATGTTTCTCTTTTCCTCGTGCTTTCTCTTGAACTCGGACCACTTGACTCTTCGTAACGAGGTGATGGCCTTAGGTACAAGGACTTGCTTCTCTTCTTCTTCTTCTTCAGGTTCGTTCAAGCCCTTGCGGCCCTCAAGAGCCGAGATCCTAGATAAAGTCGGTTAGTCTAGATGAGTACCGCAGGGATTCAATAGCCAGGTGCTCACCGATCTTCCATAAGTCGAAGATATGCATGGAAAACGAAAGATAGATTCTTGAAATTCCTGATCCTCCGATGCAGGGGCATCCGGGCCTCTTCTGACAAGACCAACTTGTAGAATGCCTCTATGATACTCACAGACACGCCATGAGGCAAGTCATCACGGTAGGCATCAAAATAATCAAGGATAGTCTTGTCATTCTCCTTTGGTTCACGATCGATGTTGTCCTGGGGCTCTGCAGGCTTTTCGGCGATGTCGGCAGTTGATTCGGACAATGGCAATGAGGTTGGGACCAGCGTATCAGGGATCAAATCGACTCCTTTGACCCCGTTTGCTTGATCGTCCGATGCGCCGTTGATACCATTCGAAGGAGCGGCAGTACCCTGCGAAGGGCGAACCGCATTCTTGGAGCTCTCAGATGAAACAAGCCTTTCCGTAGCGACACTGGCAATATTCACTGCAGCAGTTGCCATTGTGTTATCCATGCCTGGCGTTAGATAGAGGAAGAGTAGAATGAATAGAAACAGGATTCCGTTTAGACAATGCTGTGGTGTACGAGTACTGTTACTTGCCAGGGAAAGATCGTTGGACTCAACTTATATACCTACCAACCTACATGTGCCCAGTATGCTACTTCCTACTGAAGTTTCATCTTCCATATTCAGGGGTTACTCTCTTCTCACACCAGACCCAGGCAAGTACTACATACGAGGCAACTGAACAACTACAGGTTCTATGGAATCGTTGAGCAAGGCACCTGGTTGCCTTGGGGAGAACATGTTGCTTGTAACCGCCATTCATGCAAACCCCGCCGCAGATAGACTCTTCTGGGTTACAAACTGCTAGCCTTTAATGAATGTTGGTAACACATGAAGCAGTGTATATTGATTTTCCTTGCCTAACATTGAAGTTATCCAACCAAATTCTGCCGCTTGTCAATTTCGCAATACATTTGTGGCTTTTTCTGGATTCTTGCATGAGCAACGTGTCTCTTTTGCATCCAATGGAATGTCTCCTAATTCTCACCGAAGGCAGCCTTCGTCGGATTTGGGGGGAGGGGGGGGAGAGAGACGTTGAGGCTGGGTGTAAATGCTGAACGCCACAACTGTTCACAGCGTAGACGTGTGAACATCCCCTCTACGGGGATGACAAATGCATTAGCCTACTGAACCATTTTTCTCTTACTGGTAAGTTGCGATATACTCTTATACTCTTGACATCCATCATTGGGCCGCCTTCTGTGGTAGTCTTATAGTGAACATCGCGATACGTCTGCCCCAATTCGTTTCTCAAGATGACCCGCCAGTCAATCGTTCCACTTGGTTATGGAAACCCTCCCGACCTTGGATCTATCGACACAGATACTGAGCTACTGCAAAAAGTCTTCTCAGATGTATTACCTCTGCTCGAAGATGACTCTGCTGCAGTTGACATGGCAGATGGTCAAACTGATATTAGCTCAGAAGATGCTGTCGAGTAAGTAATCGTGGAATGCTACAGCTACCACAGGAGCCAAATATCTAATTGTGGAAAGACTGAGCAATAACGAAGCGAAGAAGAGCAAGGATGAGTTTGTCAACATCCTCCTGGCTTGGGATCAAGAGCACGATCGTATCGAGACATCTCGCGGCCACAAGCCACATGGGGTTCTTTTCAAAAGCAAAAGCGATCTGATTGCGCAGGTGCGCTCCAATATATCAGGTACACATAGCTGGGATGAAGTCTTTGAGGCCTTGCGTGAAGCGGAAGAAGCATATAAGAGCCCGACCGGCTTGAAAGTCGCGCACAAATGGTTCAGGAAAGCGGCAGACAAGTCCGAAGTAGTCGAGCCATTTCTCGACTTTATTCCAAGTTTTGACTTCTCTTCTGTTATCTGTGGGGGTATCAAGTTCATCCTCAGGGTATGTTCAGATGCTCCCTCGTCATCAGGTATATGCCTCCTTCTGCTGACTCTCTCATCTTGTTTCAAGGCGTGCACAGCTTCCAAGAAGTTCCGCGAAGAAGCCTTCGAGCTCATTGACCGACTTCCTGAGAAAGTCGAAATTACCGGTCAATACCTAGAGCTCTATAAAGATGACGCTCAGCTTCAGGTTGCATCTTACAGACTGTTTTGTGACATACTTTCGGCCATTCAGAGCATCTTGTATTGGTTGACAAAAGACCATACATGTAAGCTTCGTTTGACCTGAGAAGTCTTGACTTCCTACTGACATCTAGCAAATAGTCGAATGGCTAAAGCCTCTTCTTCAACAGAGTAGATACAACTGCAAGATCAAAGAGAAGATCATCGAATTGGGGCAATCCTCAGCGCATGTGGAGGGTATTGTCAGATTGTGTAACAGCAAGAGACTCCGAACCGTTTCTGACGGCGTTGGCAAGATTCGCCAAGACACGGCTTGGATCAGGAGAATTTTGGCGACATTCATGCGTGGGCTGTGCCAGCAAGCTAAATGTGCGTCGATCCCATGACGATTCAGTGAAGCGAGACTGACATATAGCAAAGGGTATCTGGAACTGAAGCAGTATCGAAACGACCATGCAAAGCAAAGGTTACAAGAAGAGCCTGATGAGACGATATCACGAAGCGAATTGTTGCTCCTATTGGATCCCGACGCGGTGACGGTTCAGAGCGCTCATAAGAATGCCTTGGAGAGGATTCTGCGCAACGGACTCGCCATGGATGCAGAAGAGCAAAAGCGTGTTGAGTGGCTCATGGCGAATGAAAGCATTGGTCGTTGGTTTAAATCAACAAGGCCACGCAAACTCCTTGTCAACGGCTTTGGCTCTTTAGATCGCATTACGCCTATGTCCTTTTTCTGTGCCATGCTGATCCAGAGCTTAAGCTCAATCGGCTCCGTCATCCTTCTCAGTCACTTTTGCGGCCTGGAGATGCCTGAAGTGGGAACAAGTGGCCCCAAAGATCGAAGAACAAGCGGCCTGCTGAAAAGCCTTCTGATACAGCTTGTGGCACAGTGGGAGACTTCCAACATCACCTGTTTCGACCATGACTTCTTGGACACGTTAAAGGCAACCAGTCCAGGCTGGGGTCTGCCGCAACAGATGCAGCTTTTGCGACATCTTATAGCTACGCTTCCCTCAACCACTCCCATTTTCATATTCATTGATGGCACCAACTATTATGAGACTGTTCAATTACGCGATGAAACCAAACAAGTGATCAAGGAAATCAACAATCTTCTGTTCCAAGAGGGGGTACAGGTTGTGGTGAAGGTTTTGATCACGTATCCAACTCGATCATACCATCTCTATGAGGAATTCAGAAGGAAAGAGGTCGTCAACATGCCTGAAGATATGGACGGTTTTTCAACGAGGTTTTCTGACTCGAACTTAAGAGTTCAGTTACATTCCACTACAGCAGCTCGCCTGGATCGTTCTCGAAGTAGAAGTCGGCACAAGTAAGGCCTTAAATCTCGATATTTTCCCATAGATACAACTACTATATATCCACGAGTGCTGAATGAGATTTATTCCAATTTGTTTTTACATCAATCTCATCTAGATCAGCCATGTTTACATTACAGGATGGATTCTGAGATACTGGGCTTATGCGATGGACAGTATGAAAGAGGTAAGATATTCATCAGCAGTGCTTCGCAAATCTAACTCAGATCTTCTGTCCCCATGCAGCGTACCACGCCGAACACTCTCTGAATCTTTCCCTCAGCCAGACATACTATAGGCCTCCCCTACCAACGACAGCGTCCCCATAAACCCGGCCGTCCATAGGTAATAAATGCAACCCAGTCGCGAGTCATTTTCTGTCTAAACCACTCGTCTTCTACGGGCCATAGCAGGAGGCGTAGACGGAGCAAGCATACGTCTCGCCACAGAAGTTCGAAAAGTTCTGGTCGTTGGCGCGGTAGCAGGTGTAAGTGTTGCCGCCGGCGCTGATGGTGCCCAGGACCTGGTCTGTGGCGGCACCACAGTTGGTCGTCGACCAGGTGCCGTCACCAGACGGGGTGGGAATAGTCGCACCAGAGGTCGAGCACGAGCCGTCATCGAAGAGGAACGACGAGTCGTTGCTGTGATACATAGGTCAGCAAGAGGGCTTGGACTTTGGAAGGTTGAGGGGCTTAGAGGCAGAACTCCCCCCTCGTCGTGTGTTTTTCTTACCAAGAGCCGAGGTTGTTGTCACCCCAGTGGATGTAGAAGTTTGAGACGCAAGATACGCCGCCCACACCAATGGGAATGCAACCTTGGCAGTAGCTCATGGTGAGCTTCTGGTCGCGGGCCTGGAGGACGGCAGGGGAAGCGGCGGCGGCGCCAGCCAGGACAGCGGTGACAATGGCACGAGTGAAGAACATCTTGGACTAAGCGGCAGTGTCTTTGTTTGAGGGAAGGGAAGACTGGCTTGCTGGCTGTATGATGGAGGATGGATGAGAACAGCAGGAGGTCGACAAAGGGGGGTTTATATACGTCGAAGACTGTCTCTTCATGATTCTTCTTCACCAGAAGAGACAGCTCACACCGTCTTGTTGTTCTTGGATATGTTGCCAAGGAACGCTTCCTTGCCGGAGCCTCCAGTATCCATGTCCACCACTCGCTGCCCACTTATTTCAGCGTAGTTAATCAAGGGTAGAGAATAGTCACCATCGCCATTCAGGACTCACAACTCATGAAAAAGAGGTCTAGGGCTGACCACCTGTTTGGGCCGTGCCCAGAGATGCCGTTCCGACGACCCGAACTGCTACCTGGGGACCCCTGACAGCTCCGTCGAAGCTGGACGCCGATCACTTCCTCCCCTCAAAGGCAACGACACACACTTTGTCCCGCCACCCCTGAGGTCGTGGTAACTAGAAGCCTCTGCTCGCAGGTATGAGGTCCTTCTAGCCGATGGTCCCCGAAGTTCTTTGCGAAACAGAGCTCTGACTATACCCCGTCAGAGTAATGTAACCTACAGAGCCTCAGCAATGCATGCAAAACCCGACCAGACTAATCTTTCTTCCTTGAAAAGGTTTTGAGTCTGTAGCATAGTCTTTGCCGTTAGGGAACGTCGCCTCTGTTGCCTTTATCGTCGAGCCTGTGAAAGGACGATAGAAGCCCCCCACCCAAACTCACCTCTCGACAGTGAACTCGATGTTAAAGAAAGACTCACGCGACGTCATGGCACAGACTCGTAACTACTTTAGATCGGTACAGTAGGTAATAAGCCACTGAGATCGTGGGGAAAATGCGGGATGGCTGACCGTTGGGTTTCCCCTTCGAGTAAGACTTGACCCCGGCTCGTCCCTTGGTTATTAATCGCGATCCTGGACCCCTGTACACCGAATTATACGCCGCAAGAACGATACATAGATATACATATAGGCTGAACGGAGAAACATGTTCCGATGAACGAGTACCTCGTCGCATCCTTGTGAATATCACTGCCGTATTCAGTCGCATCGTGAGCAACGGTGAATCTTACATGCCCTCTCCCTTGCTCTTGGCATGCACACCAAATGACCTATAAAAGTACACATAGCGTCTAGGAAGCCAGCGAGGAACTCGAGTTCGCGTCAGACGGAATTAGAAACAAAGTTAGGTCATGCTTGATAATAGAGGCTGGCAGCGTATAACCACGTCAACCCCTCGGGTTGGGATCAGGGAATAATACCAACCTTCTACATTGGGCTTCTGCGCACTACCTCTCTGGGATGTGATGATGTAGGATCTAGGAAGCCCCACCAACCATCTAGATGTGTAAAGTCAACATCGCGGAATGGTCCCGAGCTGGCAACGAATTCCGTTTTGGCGAGACTCAGAAAAGGGGCGATTGGAGCTTTCTGACATCAGCACTGCTAGATTGGAAAGTCTTGCGAAGAACTACTATTGCCGTAAGTTAGTATGTGGTTGGTAGTATCCTAGCCAGCCTCTGCTGACTCTGCCGAGTATACCGGCAAGTGGAAACAAGATCAATGGGGGTCAACGAGAGGATGAATCCTGGAGCTTCTGGAATTGAGTGGGCTAAATTCAACTCTTCCTTGGTCAAAAGCAAGGCACATCCTAGATTTAACCCCCTTTCTCGACAACCGCAATCCCGCCGCTAAACCGACACGATGACCCTACCTGGTTTCGTGCCGGGATTACATTGTATGTACATATGTAAGGCTTCAGCCATCCCCACGTCTTCTCTCGGCTCGCCAACGGTACGGGTGGTGGGTACGACTAATGCAGAGAACTCCCTGGAGGGCTGAGACTCAAAGCAGTAAGGTTAATGATTTGGACATGGATGGGCGACCGCGTGAGGAAATGATGTGTGATTCGTGCAGAAGTCTCAACCAACATCACATTGGTGCACATCATTGGTCATTTTGGTGATACAAGATATAGCTCCGGCGTTCAAACATTCATAACTAAATTGTAGCCTATCATTATACCATTCTTATGGTCTAGTCATTGTCTTTGGAACACAGATATAGGATTCTTCCCGGAGGTGCTGGGTGTTTATTGTCGTTGTGGCAGGGTGACTGAAAGAATGGAAGCAGGACCGCGATGACAGGCTTCACACAGGTCCCACGACACCCTCCCATAGCATCCTAGTACTCCTCAAATGATACAGATGGGGGCCCCATGCTGGCAACTCTTTGCCACCTGCTGTAATGTAAAGTAAGCAGCTTCAACGAATGTTGCTTTTTCCCTGGCATTTCCCTTGCTCAGATGTCAGCATTTTGCCATCCATCCTTGCCTATTCTCTTAGGCCGTACGGGGACGGTCTATAGTCTCTGCATCAACTCGCGCTCGCCAAGCGGACAATTGCTGCTGGAAATGCCAACAGGACAATAGCCTTCCAGAAGAATGCTTTCTCCTATATGCAACAAGGTAGGACACGTTGTTATCAAGGACTCTGAGAGCGGCATGATGAGGACTGTAAGAGACACCCTTGGCTTGATCCCTACCGTCAGAGCTATTCATTGTCTCTAGACGTATCTACATAAGCCCCCTTTCTGCGCTCAATGCCGCTTTGCGTGGTAGACATATACTTATTATCATGTACTACGGTATTAGTCTCCCAAGATCCCGACGTCCCGAATCAGGCCTTTCGCGGGGAATAAGGGGAGCCACGCGAATGACGGGGTCCGCTTCTCTCCACCTTCTCTGTGAGAGGCGGAACAGCAGTTGATGACATGACGGATTACCAAGAGACGAACTGGATCTGCTTACGGAGGAAGTACTCTCTCTGAACAGTGTCGAAGATATAGGTGTTCCCGTACTTTGCACATGTACTTCAAGAAGCAACGGCGAGGTCAGAGGCTCAGCAGAAGTTGGATCCCAGATGCAGGATGCACCAGGCTGGAAAGTACCATGATCTGTCTGCCAGTCGAGCTTGTCAAGTGCATCATGGCAGCACGATGCATCTCCCCCAGCTCCCCATACCCTATCTGCTCAAGCTCTTTCGAAGCCGCACCTCTTCCCAGCACGCTCACTCCTTGCCATTCCCCCGCGTTTCGAAGCCTTTTCTCTCGAGCTCTTCTCAGAATCTTCGTTTCTGATGTACCCGGCGTCAAATTCAACCCCAGACGAGCTGCAAACCGGTAATCAGCCCCATCAGTTTCACAAATGCCTGATCTACCTCCTCATATTCATCAATAAGCAGATCCGAGGTGCTGATTTGAGTCCAACCGCTCAACTAGTGCAACACGATAGGCCGCTGGATTGCATCGACAGCCCATCCCATGTCGCCTGTGATGGACAGCGCAGTTCGTTAATGCACAGAGCCAAAGGACGTCCCCCATTGCTACTGCCACGGCTCCCACATGTCTTACTTCGCGAGTGTGATATTATGGGATATGCTCAAGGGCGGTTAATTCGCAATGTCCGTGCCCATCAGCTCAGAGGTCTCGGGATACTCCAGTTGCTTTTCATACCAGCGTCGGAAAGTGTCCCTCACATATGCTACTCTCGTTCCTTAAGAACTTCCACATGTACCTATCACCCTATCGATAGTCGTTCTTTGAAGTTCAATGAATGTGTCCAGCCTATAGAGCCTACCATGCCCCTTAAAGCCTACCTACTTGCATCACTCATTCATACAGGGTAGCCAGTCGGCCATCGACAGGAACCGCCACGCAGCACACCAGATCAGCACGAAGAAAAAGCAAGGAACGAATCAAACATCCCGTTCAGAGCACATCTGGATCGATACGCTGAGATTGGGCGAATTGATGCATGCATAGGCATGTTGGGTGACATTGTCTGCAGGAGAAAAGCAGCCTCGACATCAATCCCGTCCATGCAGAGTGCCTGTACACATGCAGTATAGATGCTCGAAACCTTTCATTTACTACAAATATCTCAAAGCTGGTGAGCGTAGACTCAGGGGACGTCGGGCTCCAACTCTGATAGTTAGATTGGCCTACCGTCATCGAGCACGATCATATACGTAGTAGATCCATACCCACCGTTCATGCTTTCTCGTCATCTGACCTCCACCATGCCACATCATATCCACGACACTTATCCATTAACTCTATCCTCGCCCAAATGCTGAACCGTGAAAATAACCGACCTACTCCGTTCCCGGAACCCAAAGCCAGCAAAACAACAGGTCATAACAGCCCGCGACTGACTGACACTCCTCCGTGGCTGCATTCTATCGTTCTTGGCGACCACTCATCACATCAGCAACCAGTTGCTTCAATCACCAACGAATCCCTATACTTCTTCGAGTCAAAGCATGCAGTTGACGTGTCTTGCAACCCACAACCAGATGACACAAACATGAGAATCCCCGTTGCAGCGGCTGCCTCTCTTTGCGGAGCAGTGCTCAGGGGGGCACTGCCGACACATCATCGGATGTCTCCCGGCACATGCTTTACACGTGGGTACTACCCAGTGGTAGTAATAGTAGTAGTAGTAAGTAGTAGCTGTCATGTGAAGTGTGCAGCAGCCGATCCATCGGACCTCGAGCAAAAGTTGTAAAAGCATCGACATGGTCAAAAGCGTGCTTCGCCAGGCAAAAGTAGAGAATTCTCGCTTATTTTTCAAGAGCTCAGGACTTGGAAACTCAAAGGCTGATGACTTTCTCCAGCAATCGTCCAAGTCCATCAGGAGATGGCCAGCGACACGACCTACCTCACAACCCGCCACAGAGTACACCCCGTCCCGTGTTTCGTTCTCATCAACCAACAACCATTAATCCCATGTTGTACAATATCAATACACCCCCATCCCTCATCATACCCCATCACCCCTCCAAAGGCGGCATGAACCCCATCCCCGTCCCCTCGCCCCCAACACTCCTCCTCCTCACATGCTCCCTCAACCTCTCCAGGATCTCGCTATCCCTCCACCTCTGCGGCACCGGCCTGTACGCAGGCTTAAAGTTGCCCACCGTCTGCGCCCACTCGCCCTTGGGCGGATCCTTGGGCAGCGCCTCGTCCTCCCGCCGCGCAGCAAACTCCTCGCCCGACGACGCGCTCGCGGGGCTCATCGTCACGGAAGGGTTCGTGCTCGAGTTGGGCTCCCGCTGCGTCGCCCAGTAGTAAATGTCCCAGTCGTTCTCGTCCAGGAAGAGGTCGTACTGGTCCAGCTCTGCGGTCGTCATAGTGGGCAGATGCTGTGCTGCGAAAGTCGACAGCAGGAGGTCTGATTCGAGGGTGCCACGCTTTCGGGATTGATCTAAAGAGTAAACGAGTCAGCCTTTTTTTGTGTCCCTGTATGTGTCCGGTATTTATGAACCGTTAACAGTTGGGGGAAAGAGAGCTACTACATACAGAGAAGTCTTGCCCGCTTCGTCGCATCGTCCTCGCCGACTCTCCTCAGAGGCTCAATCCTGAACGTTGCGCCCTGCAGCTCGCCGACGCCGAGCTCACCAGCGGTCGAACCGGCATTGTCGCTTCTCTGGAGGGAAGAAGTGCTGAAGGCGCATCGTGCCCGAGATGCAGCCACCAGGCACCGGAAAGGCGCGGCCGTCGCAGGCCGTAATGCAGTTCTAACAGAGAACGACATGTTGCATATATGGTCAAGCAGCAAAGATTCGCTAGCAATGTATGTGAAGATTGCAAACAATTCAATCGGCGAATGCCTCTGGAGATTGCAGGTGGTAGTAGGTAAGGTAGATGACGAAAACGATAAGCCGAGGCCGGAATGGCAAATTCGGCAACCAATCGATTATTCATGGACGAGCAGAGCAGTTCTACCCAGCTTGAGAGCTAGCTGGTTAGGATATATGGGTGAATAAAATCTCCTCCTAGCATCAGGTGGTCTAGTGGCGCAATGGCAGCGCGTTGCTTTCCGGTGGCAAAGGTTCCAGGTTCGAGTCCTGGCTAGATCGGACTAGGCTGTTCTTTTTTTGCTACTTTTTTCGGCTGGCCGACGGAGCTTCATTCGCTCGACAGCCCCCTGTTGGATCGCTTCGTTCCGCATGAGATCTGGCTCAACCCCTTGCTGCTTGTCCAGGGTGGCAATTCCTCTGCTTCAATCAGATTTCCGTGCCTTTTTTGTCTTCATCGGCAGCGTTTCTGCCATTACATACATGGACAAGGGTAAGCGAGAGACACACAGAGCTCCAAACTTGAAGACGAGAAACGGCTTTATCAACAACATCTTGAATTCAATCGTACAGTACATACGCACTTAAGGAACTATTTGATAGCAGCACACGGAATGAATGAGGAGAAAAAAAAGAGACGGTACAGATAAAATGCAAAATCATCTCATCATACATGCGGTGCGATGATTTGTCGTGCAAGTGAGGCAACGGGCTCGTCTTCCGACATCAGCCGTCGTTGCTAGACATTAGGTCATTAAGTTGCGGGCATAGCAGGAGACAGGCTTTTATAGACACCCGGGGCCATGCCATGCACCGCCCTCGAGTGTCACCAAGAGCAAAACTTTTTGAAGAAATGTCAACCTCTAATGCTTTTAATCCCATTGAGATTTCTCCTGTAACGGTGTCGAGGATCCCGAGAACGGCATAGCTTTGCTTCCAAAGGCCAAATTCCTGTTTGCGCCGTCTACCAGGTGGAGAGAACGACAGGTGCCGGAAACGCTGGAAAGGAAACCCCCGTGGTCTTGGCTGAAGTGCTTAAGATATAAAGGAAAGGAGATGCATATGCAGATGTTGTAAAGAAATAATGCGTCACGTATGGGGCCAGGGGCACATCTGTGCACCGTCCTCGCTCGTATTTGGGTTGCCTTGCTGTGTCAGGCGATTCAAAGCCCTAGGGCGTTGACGTCGGAAGAGATGCTTCGATGCTTCTTGTGGCTGCTTCCGCTGGCCTCGCTCGTGGCCTTGCGCTTTGCGGACAACGGGTCGAGAGGGCCGCGGGCCATGTCGCTCAGCTGCTTCTTATGCCGCCGGGCCGGGGTCAAGGGAATGGCTGCCGTGTCGAAACGATCCGACTTCAAGCCCCGAAGGGCAGTGTAGTTGTATGGCCCGCTGAAGGCCAGAGAGTCTTGGGTCGCTTGGTTGCTCAGAATCAGCTGCTGGTTGATTTGATTGCGGCGGAAGGCGCCAACAGTGTTCGAGTTGAGATGCGACAGGACTTCTCCCATGTCGCTCGAGGCGGTGGTCGGGCGGTTGGGTGATGCGCGCCACTTGTTGCCGTTTGCTTCGTCGCCAGACGACTCATCATCGTCGGCCTCGCCAAAGGTGATGAAGTCGTTGATGTTGAGCTTTTCTTCATCGTCCTCCTCCTCTTCCTCCTCCATGCTAGGGGCGGTGGAGCTATCGTCGGCGTTGGCCTCGGCTGGGAAGGGGAAGAAGGCCTCCGCAGGACCCATGGCTTGGGCATTGATAAAATCACCAAAGGTGTTGGAAGAGAACATGGCGCTGAGCATCATATTGGCCGAGTTGCTGAGCAGCGGAGTCGAATGCTCCTCGATCGCCCAGGGGAGGTTGAACTGCTCCGGGGACAGGTCGAGCTGCCGCCGTCGAGTGGGCGTGAAGATCATCATCTTGCGCGTCAGCGGGTTGAGGACGGCGATGGGCTTCTTGTCCGACCGATCAAGGTTGAAGCGGCCCACGCGAGGCTGGCCACGCTCTGGCTTGACGGGCGAGTCTGCCTCCGAACCAGATACCTCGTCGTCGCTCATTGCATTAGACTGGCGCCGACTTCTCTTGCGGATGATGGGCTCGGGTATGTCTTCTTCATCAGTCGTGTCGCCATCAGCTGAGCCATCGGTGTTAGCATGGAAGCACAAACGCCAGCTAGGTGCCACGTCGAGTAATCATATGACTCACACTCGTAACCATCAAGCTCCAGAGGCTCCTCAAAGGTTGGGGTAAAAGTTTCAACCGCAGTGGCAGGCCCAGCAACGGGCATCACAGAGACATTGTCGTCGTCGGAAAGTTGTCGTACCACTTCCTCGGCATCCGAGTCCGAGTCCTCTCCCTCTTCTTCTTCGTAATGGCCATGGTAATCCCAGAAGGAGTTGGAGCCGGAGGATTCATCCGGGTCATGCTCAATCTCTTTGCGAAAAGCAGGATCGAGAGCATTCTGCGAGACGAAAATGTCGGGAAACAGGTCGGCGTGGTCGTCTTCCGTTTCGGTGGAGTCAGAGTCGCTGTCCGGCACGTCGAAGCGAACATGGCGCTCTACGACGGGGTCTGAGGCGAAGGCGTTGGGATCGTGGTAGAAGTCGTGTTCATCGTCAACTTCTGAGACAATGCCGGCCCAGCTGGCATTATCAGCATCGCCGTCGTCTTCGTCCTCGACCTCGTCTTCGACATCGTCGTCCTCGTCGTCGTCTTCGTCTTCGTCATTGCCAGCGTCTTCTTCTTCTTCGGCGTCATCATCCGACAGCGGTCGAGGAGCATCAGGGGGTTTGGGGAGGCCCTCTGTGAGTATCATTTCCTCCTCGACCGCGATTACATCCTCCTCGTCGTTGTCCTCGGAGTCACTGATGTCTTCGACGGCTGAGTAGCCCTCCTCGTCGGAGAGATCAAGAGATGATGATGTGTCCGAGTCTCGCCGACGCTTCTGGGCTTTGGCCGCCGCCGCGGGGTACTTTTGCCGAATGTTGCGAGACATTTTGTGTTGTATAGAAAATGGTGATGAGATAAAATCTTTTGTGTAAGAACGATTCTCTTGGTAATAAGGGGGTTCGCTTTGACCGTGAATTGAAGGCCTGGCTATCATGAAATCAAGCGGAGCTGGCCGGTTCGATGCAATACAGATGCGGTCTATAGCTTCTGAATGCTTGCTATTGAGCCTTTGTATCGAACAGAACAAGTGTATGGCCGTATGAGATGACAATTGTAGAGTGTTACTGGTTGTAGATGGGGGATTCCAGGGAAAGGGTTAGCTGTCAAAAGGATGATTTGTTGAAAACTTTTCTTCCAGCAATTGAGACGTTGAAGGCCCTATACGCGGGCAACTGGCAGGATTCGTGATTCAGAGACAGGCTTTTCGAAGAGCATCCGAGCTCGAGAGCGGGAAAAGAACCTGTTGAGAAGCTTTCGTCGACGGGGATTGATAACTGGGTTTTGGGCACGTTGGAACTGCTGGACTGCGAGCCGTGATGGGCACGGCCCGCAGTGGGCGTTTACAGCTCAGCGACGGCCGAAGGCATTGTGGCTCGACGAAGTTTCTGACTGGGGGGCTTCTTGCTCTAGGGATCCTGGGCTATAGGGCGACTTCGTTGTCTGGATTGGAAGCTTGTGCTGGTGATGCAGCAGAGGAGAGGGAGAAGAGGAAGAAGAGCCAGCTACCTAAGAAAAAAAAAGTTTTGATGGCCCCGCGAGAGGAGTACGGCGTGTCAGGTACCTCCTGCCAAAACTTCATCGCATTGCCATTAACTTTCACTTTTTTTCTTTCTTTCTTAGGATGATTCAAGTTCAAGGTGGGGTCTGGCCTCTGATTCGCGGACGCAGAAAGATGGAGAGGAGGCTAAGCCGATTCGAGACCGAGCCTGGACCCAATGCCGCGATAAAAAATCAGAGAGAAAATCGCTAAGAAAAAAAAAAAAAGTCACCACTACCTATCAAGCGATCGTCACCGCTTCTTTGCGTCAGGCGCTGTGATGCGCTAGCTGGCGAGCGCTGTGGCAGCTGCTCCCAGCGGTCGAGAGCACTAAAGGGACCGCCTGTAGGTATTGAACTCTTCCAGTGTCAAGGCGGGGCATCTTGTCCCATCTTGTCCCATCTTGTCCCATCAAAGCCCGCCTCAATGGATCCCCGCAGGTTTTTGCAGAGGCGCCACTTTGGACGTGCAGATTCGGCCTCTGATTTGATGCGTTGACGTGCATATCGGGCTCTGGATCGTGGCCAGTCCAAGCATTGGCTGATGCTATATTATTATTAGTACTGATTTACACGGTTCATTCATATGCTGGAGCAGAGCGAGCAAGTCGATCACCAGACGCAGGTTGCAGCTGAAAGACTCGACTGATAATCGCAGCTCCACCTCCAAGTTCCTGCAATGCCTTTGTATCATCGTTTACGTCTCGGAAATTGAACCTTGAAGACTCATCGTATGAGTCCTTCCACAGCGCCACTGAGGGGCTTCTGGCTCGTTTCACTCGACTGAGTCATACTACCTAGGCCTCTTTTGCATGTGCAAGCTGATGGAGATGCTGCCGTTCTCGTGTTGATAAGGCACATGTACGGCTGATGTGGCAAGTGTGGGTATCAACGTCACCTCAATTTCTTCTACGGGCTTCCTCTCGACATGAAGAGATGCTGGATTGTGGTACTAGTATGTACGAAGATTAGGTAGTCTCGTCAGAACTAAGATATATACTAGTCGATGCCTCTATATACGGCCAGGTGCTCTCAAAGCCACCCGCTGTCCTCCTCTATAGGTAGGTATTCGCCATCTGATATCGCTTAGGTATCGTCTTGCTCTAGAAAATGGGTGTATATCCAAAAGCCCCATTCTAAATCACCCGCTGTCTCCCTGCAAAAAGAACGAAGACAAAAAAAGAGATTTCATGACGCCTCCAAACGCCTGTGGGTATACAAACAAGTGAAAACTCCCAGATGTTGAAACAAATAATGGTCAAGGCTTCGAGTCCATCAGCATCCCCGCAAACCGAGTCTCGTCTTTTGTCTGCTTCAAGAACGGGATGAGCTGGGATCCTCCCGTGCCGGTCAGGTGCTCTCCCTTCTTTTCCAACGAGGAGCTCGCCAGGTTCTTGCGGGTCGAACCGGTCCACGGCTGCTTGGACGGGATGAGGATGTACCGCGTCACGATGCCAAGGTGCTTCTGCCGGAACTTGGTCAACGTTTCCGTGGCTACAGTGTAGGCCTTTCTCAGGCGCTGCTCTGCCTCGCCTTCGGAGTCCTCGAGATCGAGCGCGAGCTGGCGGATGCTGCCCAGACGAGCCACGTGCACGAGGAACCTCGCGTGGGGGCCAGGCATGTAGTCTCTCATCTCTTCGTGGAAGCTCCGCTTGCTCTCCGAGTGGCCCTTGTGCTCGATGCCGAGGACAATGTCCCAGAACATGATGAGCGAGCTCTGGCCGTTGCTCCCGCCCCTGAGCTTCCTCCACTCTCCTCTGCCGTCCCCCTCGTCGTAGAAGACACCCTTGGGCAGGCCAGCAGCCTCCATGTTCATGGTGCCGGCTAGGAATGGCCGAATCTGGTGGTAGAAGGTCATGGGGTCGCATCGCTCGTGCATCCGCTCCAGGAGGATGCCAACTTCTTCAATGTGCGTGCTGAGCTCTTCCAGCGCCTTGATGATGACCTGGTAGTCGTGGGTCTTGATGGCCTCGATGGCACGGGTCATGGTTGGGATGATGGAGGCGGCCTTGGCCTCCATGGCGACGCTGATGAGAAGGAACCACGACTCGGACTCGGTTCCGGTAAAGGATAGCAGAGTGCTGAGCTTCTCGACGTCGGCAAAATCGTCTCCCTCACAGTGGAAGTTCCAGAGGTTGGCGCCGGCATAGGTCAGAGTGGGAGGCAGCTCCAGATGGGCCGAGATGCGAAGGAAAGGGACGGTCAATGTCGGTGGCAGAATCTATTGATGAGGTGAGTTAGCATCAAGCAAGACGAGCCTCAGTCCACGACGGTTGGGGAACGCCAGTCGTACCTGTTCAGGTATATCTCCTCCCCAGATGTATGCGTTTGCAAAAAATGACAAGATAACATAGGCTCTGCGCCACTCGGCTTCAGACTGCAAGCGATCTGTCGACAGCATGGGAAGTTGTCTGATGGCGTCACGGATGCGACCAGCTTCGGTGAGCTCGGGCAAGTTGTGCGCAACGAGTTCCCACGGCTCATAGTATGAGTCTGAAAGCATCTTGGGGAGGTTCTCCTCGGGAAGGAAGGCATTCCGTGAGACGGCAAACTTGGCCAGGTCTGTCGGTTCAAGACCCAATGTCTCTTCCAAAAGCGCGTGAGGCGACATGATGAGTGCTGCTGATATGAAGCCTTTTGTGAAGGCCACTTTTCGGTGTGCACTTTGACTGGAAAAGCACCTCGGAGGACACAGAATGAACCGGAAAGTACAGGGATGGCGGTGCTCCTTTCTCTAGTATGGTCCTGGCTTGAAGCTCCTTGGAACCTGGATCCGCTTAGAACAGGACGCTTTGGCGTGTTATATGATGTCCCGAGGAGGCGGCTGTTAGTTGGAAATCGTGGAGTTGGGGAGCAAGAGATGCTTGCAGGCAAAGGGAATCAGCAAATAGGGAAGCATCGCATCACGCCATGTGGACACTGGACATTGTTCGAGGATAGTGATCCTCGTTACCAAAAATCCATCATGAGCCCCGTTCATTCTACGGAGTACGGAGCGCCACAGGGCAATGCAAGGTAGAAAGAGAGGGAGCCCGGATCGTGGGCTGCATCTAGACGGGCGTGTACTTCCAGTTTCCCTCTGATCCGCGCGTTTGCATCCGAAGCTCCGTCTTTCCATCAAGAGCGACTAGAGGCTGGCCTAGCGCCGTGCGAGGAGGAAAGGGTCGGGGTTGGCCCGGGGGGACGAATCGACAAGGTTGGGCCGATTAGACGCCGCAAGTCAAATTGGGGAGGTTGTTGGAGAGGTGACGGATTGGGATCGGGATCCTTTGGAGCGGAGTGCTTTCTATTGGAGATGGCTTGGATTTCGAGATTGCGAGACGAAGCAGCCGTTCAGATTCGGATCCTTGGGAAGAGGGATGGGCCGAGGACGAGCAGAGGGACTCGGTCTTACACGGTGCATTCCGCCCCTACATGCGACGAGCACCACAGTGCTTCCGCTGGATCATTGTCTGGTGAGCCTGCCTCTACGGAACAACTATAGTTACAGGCATGATTTATTAGGTTCATAAACAGTACTGGTTCATGTAGCTGCGGAAAACCTTGATTTCAACGATGACATTAGGACTTACATGGCCCTCAGGAGCTGGCCTTGTAAAACGCTCACCGTGAGATGTTTCGTGAGATCTGTTGGTAGGCATCCCCAGACAAACAGGCGCGGGTTCTGCTAAAGAAGCCCTCTCAATCATATGAACACGCTGCGGGTGATTCCAACGGCATGTCATGAGGCCTAATTACACTGGAATGTCCTAGAGAACCCAGTACCTAGCGAGCATGCATCTACATATTCCATACCAGCTAGACCTTGACCAGTCTGTGCGTTCGAAGAGGTCGTTAGGCATCTGTGCAGTTTTCGCTTCTGTCACCTCCTGTCTGTGCATCTCGATGAGTCCAAATGATGTCCTCATGACATTATGCAAGTCCCATATATATCCAAGATAATCTCACCGTAATTGATTTCGACTTCGAGAGAAACAACATCGAGGTGCGGCTCTTCGGCCTCGGAAGTTCGGAAGAAGGAACGTCAAAGACGGAAGTGCGGATTTGCAGCCGGCTTCTGATCCCTGGTTGCCGTCATGCGGCTCTTCCAGATTGGGTAATTCTGCAATCGATAAGCCAGGGGGGGTGCGGCAGGACGCGGAACGACGCGGGACAAGCAAAAAGGAAAGGAAAATGCATGACATGCAGCCGCTTGGAGGAGGAGGATTAATTAAGCCGGTGCTGATTAAGAGAACCAAGAGCGCCACCTTCAAAGGACTTGGAGAGAGACTGAGAGAGAGAGAGGAGAGGCGACTACAGACTCACTCTGAGAGAGAAAAAGAGTGAGAGAGAGTGAGAGAACCCTGTGAGAGAAAGTTGCCTCCCTTGATGCCGCTGCTGTCCAGACTGCTGCCTCCTCCCACCTCCCGAGTCTTGTCCAGACGTGCGCTCTTTTCATCCAGCTTCACCATCCTCATCACTCCCGTCTTCAGCATCAACCGCATCAACAGCATCAACAGGTTCCACACCCGCAAGATGAGCCTCAAGGCCTTTGTCGAGCGTCTTCGCAGCGGCGCCCCGCCCGAGTTTCCGCAGGACGCAAACTCGCTGCAGTTTGCCCAGAGCCTCGACTCTCAGGACTCGATCCGGCACCTGCGCGACGAGTTCATCCTGCCCACCAAGGCGTCGCTGAAAAAGCGAGCGTTGGACGGCACCATTCCTGGTAAGCAGGGCAAGCAAGCCTCATACACACATACACATACACACACACTCTCACTCTCTATCTGTGAAATGGCTTCAGGGGCCGAACGAAGGAAGAGCGCGAGATAAGGGAAAAAAAGCAAGAAGAAACCAAGAAAAATCAAGACCCAACAACAACCCTTTCATCGTTCTACTAGTTATATTAAAGGCTACGTCTCGTCGCGGCTGCTAATTGGACGTTGCAGGACAGGTGAATAGCGGCACCAACGGTGTCAATGGAGCCGGTGCAAGAGCAGCTGATGCTGGAGCTGTAGCTGGAGCTGGAGCTGGGTCTGGAGACGACGAGCAAGGCATCTACTTTGTGGGCAACTCGCTGGGCGCGCAGCCAAAGGCCGTCCGCGAGTACGTTCACGCCCAGCTCGAGACGTGGGCGTCGGTGGGCGTCAACGGCCACTTCACCGACATGGCCGCCTCGCCCCTGGTGCAGTGGCAGGACATGGCCGAGGACTGCGCCAACAAGTCGGCGGACCTGGTTGGCGCGTCCCCCAGCGAGATTGTCTACATGGGCACGCTGACGGTCAACCTGCACATGCTCATGGCCAGCTTCTACCGGCCCGACGACAGGCGGCACAAGGTGATCCTGGAGTGGAAGCCCTTCCCCAGCGACCACTACGCCATCGAGAGCCAGATCGTGTGGCACGGCCGCGACCCGGCGCAGAGCATGGTCAAGATCGAGCCCGACCAGGGCTACGTCATCTCGACGGAAAAGGTGCTGGCCACCATCGACGCCCACGCCGACTCCACGGCGCTGCTGCTGCTGCCCGGCATCCAGTACTACTCGGGCCAGTTCTTCGACATCCCGCGAATCACCGCCTACGCCAAGGAGCGCGGCATCGTCGTCGGCTGGGACCTCGCCCACGCCGCCGGCAACGTGGAGCTCAAGCTGCACGACTGGGACGTCGACTTTGCCTGCTGGTGCACCTACAAGTACATCAACGCCGGGCCCGGCGCCACCGCGGGAGCCTTTGTGCATGAGCGGCACGGCAAGGTGGAATACAGCGGCGACGGCGACACCGAGGCGCCTACATACCGCCCCCGCCTGGCCGGCTGGTACGGCGGCGACAAGCGCGTGCGCTTCAACATGGCCAACACGTTCGTGCCGACCCCGGGCGCCGCCGGCTTCCAGGCGTCGAACCCGTCGGCGCTGGACCTGGCCGCCGTCTCCGCGGCGCTGTCCGTCTTCAACAAGACGAGCATGCGCGAGCTGCGGTCCAAGGCCCTGGTGCTGACGGCCTACGCCGAGCACCTGCTGGACCAGATCAACGCCGAGGCCGGCACGCCCTTCTTCACCATCATCACGCCGCGGGACCCGGCCCGGCGCGGCACGCAGCTGAGCATCCTGCTGCGCGAGGGCCTGCTGGACGGCATCGCGGAGGCGCTCGAGCGCAACGGCGTCATGTGCGACAAGCGCAAGCCCGACGTGCTGCGCGTGGCGCCGGTGCCGCTCTACAGCCGGTTCGAGGACGTGTGGCGGTTTATGCAGATTCTGCGCGGCGCGTTGGGTCTTTGAGCGAGGGTTTCGGAAAAAGCGAGGTGTTTAGTCCTTTGATAGCGTGACTCGAGTTTACGTGGGATATGAAGATGCATGGGACCGGGCTATTGGATGGGATTGGGTATGATATCAATGACAGTTTGCATCATTCAAAGGTAGATTCTGATTTCATGAACATATCCTTTAATTCCACGCCGTCTATCCTATTATATTGCTTCCCTTGGTCCCCATCACCAGCCTGTTCCCCCCAATCTGTTAAATACTACTCATACCACTTATACCGCATCCTCATTAAGGAAGTAGTAGCCCCCTCCATTACAACACCCAAACCCCCCTACTCCTCAAGAGGAGAATCCGTGCTTCGAATCACCTCCCTCCACTCATCCAAGATCCTCCCCGTCTCCGCCATCTTATTCCTCACAACCCCCTCCGCATCACTCCCCAGCACCACCCTCACAGGCAAATCCCTCCCCTTGGCCACCCCCGTCCCCGTCAACACATCAACAACCACCTCGGCCCCCTTGTTCACATCCCCGAGCTGCCTCCCATCCGTGGCAACAAGCCCCCTCCTCGCCCTCCCCGTCGGCGTGCCCTCGTCCTCATACGCCTCAAGCCTCGCCCTCGTCGACACCCTCGTGCCGGGGTTCAGGAACCCCGTGCGAAAGTACCCCGGCTCAATGACCGTCGCCTTGATCCGAAACGGCTCCAGCTCGAGGGCAAGCGTCTCGGCGAGTGCAGAACACGCCCACTTCGTCATGGCGTACACGCCCGCACTCGGCGACCCCCTCCAGCTGCCCAGGCTCCCAAACGTGGCCACCACGCCCCTGACTCCTCCTCCTTCTCCTCTTCCCTCATTCTCCCCAGCAACAGGCTGAGCGCGCATATGCGGCAGAAACGCCTGAATCGTCCTCATCGCCCCAAACACATTCGTGTCGAAGCTCGCCAGCACCTCCTCGGGACTCGCCTCCTCGATCGAACCCTCGAGGATGTAGCCCGCCGCGTTGATCAGGTAGTCGACGCGGCCGTGCTGCGCAAAGACCTGCTCGGCGAGGTCCCTGGCGACGGGGAGGGGCGCCGTCACGTCGTAGGGGAGCGTGTGGGCGCCGGCGGCGGCGAGGTCCGCGATGCGGGATGGGTTGCGGGCGGTGGCGACGACGGTGTGGCCGCGGCGGAGGGCGGAGAGGGCGATTGCGTGGCCGAAGCCGGAGGAGGCGGCCGTGATGAACCAGACGGGGGGCATTGTTGGGTCAAAGGGTCAAAGGGGGGGGTGATGATGATGTGGGTGATCTTGGTGGTGATTTGTGTTGTTGCGTTGTACTGGACGTAATTGGGTGTACAACGTTACTGTAGTGGAGGCTGATCTTGTTGTTATTTGTTGTGCTGAGAGTGTGTTGTTATATAATAAGAAACGGTCCAGGTATCACGGTGCTATGTATCGGTGATGATGATGGTGTTGGTGATGGTGTTGCGGGTGTAAGTCAATTGAAGCACCACAACAGCGCCAGCCAGCTCTCCCCCTTTTTATATCCATCATTCCCCAACACTCAACCTCCATCTTTGAATCATTTCAAAAATAATCTCGGAATCCACACCTTCGTCAAAAACACGACTCAAGATCGAATGATCCTCCAAGAGAAAGGCATCAATCATCCAGCCTTATCGCCATCTCAGCTCTTCGGCGTTTACCCTCGACCGAAAAGGACCGGCCCCACTGATTTTCGGCCTTCAGCTCGAGCGGCCGAACCGTTCCGGGGGTTTCTTCGACTAACCCTCTCCGTTGATTCACATATGGTGCCATCACCTTATGTCCGCAGGCGCGTCGAGAGGCGTCACTGGACGGCGCCAAGTGTTGTCTTAACGCCGATAGTTATCTTTCAGGTGGCCTGCGTGATTACCAAATTTGTTTCTATCAGGGACGGAGATGGCTTCGGCGATGAGAACGATGATGACATAATGCCGCCTGAGTCCCGTCTTCATCAGTACTTGTACCTTAGGTACCTTATGACTGACCCGACCAAATCAAATCAGCCGTCATTCGCCCACGACAGCTTTTTACCTTCACCTTCAATCTCATGGAGATTCAGTCATCAATGATTTGGTCTGTTCAGGTCAGACACCGACGGAAGTCGAGCTCCGTCTCCGTCAGCGGGGTATGAAGCCATTACAAACCAAGCTCGATTTGCGGACCGAGAAAACCGCATCTATTCTCACGCTCATAATCGCAAATTGAATGGCAACTCACTCATATTTCCCGACCACGATCGTCATCGGCAATTGGAGCGGGAGAAAGATGAGCCAACTCGCAGATGCTTGGCAGGTCGAGATTGTAGGATAATTATCCGCTCTTCAGTGCTTACTGCTACCTGGGTGTGAGGGGAAGTAAGAGGAGATGCTGTGGGAATATGGTGTGTTTTTTTAGCACCTCCATTGCTTCTCCGCAATCGGGTGGGAATCAGTGGGATATCTTGCGCCGAGGGGAAGCATCACGATTCGACAACAATAGGTTCATTCCTCTTCGCATCCAGCTGTTCATCTTTTACAGATACGAGAGCAGAGACAGAAGCCAGCTGAAAGGGCATTGACCACTGCCAGCATCAGCCACCACAAGACCACCTGAACCGGGCATCACCAGCAGCATCACCAGAAACCACCAACCAGCATCATCGCCATGGCTTCCTCGTCCATCCCCTGCCCGCCCCGCGGCATCTACGTGCCCGCCGTCGCCTTCTTCCACCCCGACGAGACGCTCGACCTCGACGCCATCCGCGCGCACCTGACGCGCCTGGCCCAGGGCGGCGTCGACGGGCTCGTCATCCAGGGCTCCAACGGCGAGGCCATGCACATGCTGCACGACGAGCGCCAGCAGGTCCTGCGGCTGGCCCGCGAGGTGCTGGACCAGCACGGCAAGCCGGGCGCCGTCATTGTCGCCGGCTGCGGCGCCCAGAGCACGCGCGAGACGATCCAGCTGTGCCGCGAGGCGAAAGACGCAGGCGCCGACTATGCGCTGGTGCTGTCTCCCAGCTACTGGGGTGAGTTCTATACCAATCCATCTTCCCTCCGTCATTGTCATCATCATCATCTCCCTCATCATCAACACATGATGAACATGCTGCAACTGACACACCGAGTCCGTCGGCAATGCAGTCGCCGCGATGCAAAAGCCCACCGTCTTCAACTTCTTCAACGACGTCGCCGCCGCCTCGCCCCTCCCCGTCCTGCTCTACAACTTCCCCGCCGTCACGGGCGGCATCGACCTCGACTCGGACCTCATCGCCGACCTGGCCGCCGCCAACCCCAACATTGTCGGGTGCAAGCTGACCTGCGGCAACATGGGCAAGCTGCAGCGCGTCGCCCACGACCCGCGCATCGGCCGGCCCTTTGCGGCCTTTGCGGGCAAGACGGACTTCTTCCTGCACGGCCTCGTCGGCGGCTCCCACGGCGTGATTGCGGCGACGGCCAACCTGCTGCCCAAGGCGCACGCGCACATGCTGCGGCTGTACGACGAGGGCAGGCTCCGCGAGGCGCAGGAGCTGCAGACGCGCTTCAGCAGGGCGGACTGGGCGCTCGTGCAGCTGGGCATTGCGGGCATCAAGGCGGCGCTGCAAAAGTACTATGGGTATGGCGGCGGGAGGAGCAGGAGGCCGTTGCCGAGCGCCGTGGATGCGAAGAAGCTGGATGGCGAGGTGGATGCGGCGGTTGGAGGGTTGGTCGAGTTTGAGAATGCTCTGTGATTGATGCTGTGATATACCTAGATCTAGACTTGGACGAGAGAATGGGTATTATATATATACATAGGTATCATCAGCGTGTTTGCGACATCATGACCAGCTTCAAGTCATCTCTATCCACCACCACCACCACCACCCCTATATATCCATCTGAATCTCCAAGCATCTAACACTCACATTGCTACTCTCCATACTTACATATATACATACATACATACATGTACCTACCTACTCATCATCCATCTAAATAAATACCCGTCGCCTTATTCCCATCCTAGCGTCCCCTCCAAAACCCCAACGTCCAGCCACCATCCACCACCATCTCCTGCTATCTCCTCCTACTAGTAGTAGCCAAATCTCACCTCCACTCAACAACACCTCCAACTCCAATCCCATCACAACGTCCGGCTCCTCGGGCCAATCCATCCAGATAACAGTGACACTGCATCTCCAGAAACTACAGCATCTCAATGCACACATTTGTCCTTTCTTTTCACCTGCCAAACACTTTTTGATAGCTATTCCTGGCTGCTGATATGCTCCCCACTTTCTCTCTTCCCCCCCACCTTGGACCCCATCTTGCTGCTTCTCTAGTATGGCGGGGTAAAATAGGCATGAGAGATTCGGGTTGAAAATAGGGGACCAAGGGGGGAGTAAATAGGTAGGTAGCTTCTCAAAGTCGGTCGGTGATGGAGCTGTCGATGTGACCAGTTGCATCACCGGGGTCCGATCGCGTCCATCTCGTCTCGCGGTCACCCTTTCGTTCCTCTCACCTCTTGATCCTCGTCATCTTCTCATTAACTCCCCTCTCCTCCATTCAAACCAGTTTCTTTCATCACCATCACCATCACCACCACCACCATCACCGCCATCATGTCCTCCTCCTCCTCCTCCTCCTCCCAAGAAACCCGCCTCCTCCTCCCCATCATCGACTCCCACATCCACATCTACCCCGAATCCGAAGTCCCCAACCTCGCCTGGTGCACCCCCGACCACCCGCTCTCGGGCCAATTCTCCGTCGACCAGTTCAAGCACGCCGCCCGCTCCGCCCCGTCCCTCCTGGGCTTCGTCTTCGTCGAGACCGACCGCAAGCACGATCTCGAAGCCATCCTCTCCCCATCCTCCTCCCCCTCCGACCTCGACGCCGCCTGGGACGGGCCCCTGCGCGAAGTCCGCTGGCTCAAGCGCGTCGCCCTCGGCACGCCCCTCCCCGGCGAGGGCCACACGCCCGAGGACAAGCACCTGTGTCTCGCCATCGTCCCCTGGGCGCCGCTCCCCGCCGGCGAGGCCATTCTCGAGCAGTACCTCGCCAGGGTGCAGGACGAGGCCGGCGAGGCTTGGCCCAAGATCAAGGGGTTTAGGTATCTCCTGCAGGACAAGCCCCACGGCACCATGCTCCAGGACAAGTTCATCGAGGGGCTCAAGTACCTGGGCAAGCGCGGCTTCTCCTTTGAAGTCGGCATCGACCAGCACCGTCGTGGCAGGAAGCAGCTCGAGGAGACGGTCGAGATGATTGGCCGCGCCCATGAGGGTGTCCCCGACGACGAGAAGGTGACGTTCATCATCAGTCAGTTCTCTCTCTCTATCCCCCTTTTCCCCCCCTCCCTCAAACATATTTCAACCCCAAAAAATCTAGTCCATAACCTAAAGCTAATCACACCAAACAAATGTGTTTATTCATATACCGCCAGACCACCTCTGCAAGCCAGACCTCACAATCTACAACGTCTCCTCCGACCCCTCCTTCACCGCCTGGCGCACCGCCATCTTCTCCCTCGGCAAATGCTCCCGCACATACATGAAGCTCTCCGGCGCCTTCGCCGAGATGACGCCCGCCCTGCGCTCCCAGCGGGATCCCTCCCACCTCTTCCAGTCCCTGCTGCCCTGGCTCGGCGTCGTCCTCGCCACCTTTGGGCCCCGCCGCCTCATGTTTGCCAGCGACTGGCCCGTCTGCACCGTCGGCTTGGAAACGAAGAAGAAGAAGAAGGATGCTGCCGAGGACGATGGGCAGGATGAGGAGGAGGAGGATGAGGCGTGGCCCAAGTGGAGGGAGGTGGTGGAAAAAATGTGCTGGATGGCGACGCTGAGCGATGAGGATCGGGCCATGATCTTTGGCGGCACGGCCAAGGAGGCGTACAGGTTGTGATGAAGGGAGCGGGCAATAACGGGATGCTATTTTTTTCACTTGAATGCGTGCAATTGTTCGGAAACAACTACCTTGATGAAATGTCAAGTCTGCTTCTTTTGTCGAGCTATTCAGCCATGAAGCGGCCTCTATACAAGCCCAAAAGGGGTATGCATGACCGTTCATCAGCATCATTCACTCCCGTCACAAACACCACGCGAAGAAAACCTGTTGTGTTGTTTAAGAAATCAAAGGGTTTAGCAAAAAAAAGTCTCATTAACATAAATCATCATCATCTAGAGCAATCATCCCAGAAAAAGAAAAAGAGGGATAACAAGAGTAATGAACGAAAGTCAAGAAATGATAAAAAGCCCCTCGTCAGCCACTGTCTCGAAAGAAGAGAAACCCCCAAAAAATACTCAAAAAACACGTCGCTAACCCCCCCACCACACACTGATTCTCACAACAGGATATCAATCACCAAGCCCGTCCTGACATTGGCAAGCAAAAGCTCGGCCGCAATTCTTCTTTTCAAACGACAAAAGAGGGAGAAAAGGGGGGAAGGGATAAAAAGAAAAGGTCAAAATCGCAGCAGCACGCTTTCATACAAGAATTTCCTCCCATCCGTTTCCCGGTCCAGATCAGCCCAAAGAAGAAACATAGGGAAAGGGGGGAAGAGGAGGCAATGGCCGGTGACTTGGCAGGTTGGTCCAAAGGAATGACGAGAAAAAGACTGTCAAAAAAAGCGCATAAAAAGCAGGGCAAGACAGAAAAAACAGGCCTCCTTTTTTGGTCACGTCTTTCCTTCCCTTCATCACCAGGTATGACAGGGCCGTGAATGTGTGTCGTCGTGTTCGTCCGTCTCATTCAGCCAGATGGCTCAGACTTGGTTCATCCATTGCATAATCGTCTTCGCCCGTAGCTCCCCCATCTTGTCATGTTTATTTATTCAGAATGCCGCTGCTCCTGGCACCGCCCGGCCGAGGCAAGCCGCCTCCGATGCTGCTCTTTCCCCTCTCATGAGGCGCCCTCATGACCGATCCTGGGGCCCGGATACCGGAGATGCGATTCGCCGGGTTTGGTCTGGCCATCTTGGACACCGAGTCTGCTCGCTCCAACGTCGGCTTCTTGGACACCGAGTTCCTCCTATCCGCCGTGGGCGGCTGGCGCTGCGTCGCTGGTTGGGGGGCAGCAGCTTCGGGCGCGGGCTGCGGCGCGGGTGTCGCGGACGTGACAGTCTGCATGCTCATCAGCTCTTCCGCCAGCTGCACCAGCTCGCCCTTCTCGACCCTCTCCTGCTGCAAGCTGACGCGCAGCTCGTCGTTGTCGCGGCGCACCGTCGTGATGACGGCCTCGAGCCGCTGAATGTCCGCCTCGAGCTCTCTGATGGTCGCGTGGTCGCGGGCCGACTGAGCCTTCCACTGCTCCATGTCGGCGTGGTCGACCATGGTCATGGTGGAGCCGTGGCCCGCGTGCAGCCTCTCGTTCTCCATTGTCAGGTTCTGGATCTTGGCCTCGAGCTCCCACACCTTCTTCTCCCACCGGTTCTCGTACGACTTCTTGAGCGCCGCCACCTTGGTCTCGTGCTTGCTCTTGTAGAGGCCGTGCAGCTCTCGCGCCACGCGCTCGACGGCGATTTCCACTTCTCGCGCGCTGCTGTTGGGCTTGTCGGGCGACGAGTTTCGCTCCAGGTCCTTGCCGGCGCGCAGGCCGGCCAGCTTGCTCTCGGCCTCCTGATGCATCATCTCGGATGCCTCCCTCCGCTGCTCGCTCTCCTGCAGCTCGTGCTCCAAATCCTCCTTCTCCCTCTGTGTCTCGATAATCTCTTCCCGCACAATGCGGAGGGCGCCCTCCATCTCTTCTCTCAGCATCCGCTCCTCGCGCAGCCGCTCCATGGACTCGCCCACGCGCTTCTCGGCATCCACGACGGCCGTCTTGAGAGAGTGCACCTCGGCTTCCTTGCCGCTCAGCGACGCCTTGAGCGAAGAAATCTCGGACAAGAAGTTGGACTTGAGCGTCTCCAGCTCCCGCGGCGTGATGGAGGGGATACTCCTCGGCGTCGCCATGGGCGTCCCGTCAAAGTCGATGAGGTTTGTGCCCTGGCGGTTGGGCGTGCCCGTCATGGGCAGGTTGGGCGTGGTGCGCGAGGGCGACAGGACGTCGCGCCTGGCGGGGGACGAGCGCTGCGAGCGTCCGAGGCGTTCGTTGTAGTCCATGAGCAGGCTGGAGGTGGAGGCGGCGTCGTCGTCCATGGCGTGATGGGCTCGCTTTGCGTCGCGTCGTCCATTGGGCGTCTGGCCCAGCCTTGCCAGCATGGCCGCGTTGGGGACGGCTGAAAAGGCGCTGAATGCGCTGACGTCCATCGTGTCGTCGTCGCCGCCGGGGTGTCGGTGGTGGGAGCCGTCCATGCTGCCGTCGCCGTTGTCCTCGTCCTCCTCGCGGATGCTGCCGCTCCTGCGGCCGTCCTCGTAGATGCCCATGGCCCTCCTGAGCCCGTCGCTGCCGTTGCGCTCGCGGTTGTGCACCACCTCGTCGATGCTGCAAGACTGCTGCTGCTGCTGCTGCTGCTCGTGCGCTGCTGCTGCTGTTGCCCGCGATGCCACGTCGCCGCCGAGGCTGATCTTAACAGGAAAACGTCGATCGGGCGACACCTTGCGCGGGCTGCGCACGCCTCCACTCGCCTTGAGCAGCGCGCCGTCCAATGAGCTCCTCTGGCTCTCCACAATGCGCAGCGGCGACAGCTCCGTGCCTGACATAATGCGGCTGTGGCGCGATTTGGCGGGCGAGATGTTTTCCTGGTTAGAGCGTGCGTCGTCGGTCCTGATGCGCAGCGGCCGCGCTGCCGCCGTCTCGGGCTGCGAGGCGTCCGTCTTGGACGTGCTGCTGCTCATGGCATCGTAGAAGTCGTCGTCCGACTTCCTGCTGCTGGCGGTGGACGAGGACGAGTTGAGCATTGCGTCGTCGGCCGGCGAGAGCGGGGACGTCATCCTCAGGCAAGGTAGATGCGCAAGGGAGAGAGGGAAGCGGTCGCTTATTATTGTGTGCTGTGTGTTTCCCTTTTTTTTTTGTTCCTGTTACTCGTCGCCTCTGCGCCCTCCGTGAAGGGCTGCGTCTTTCTGCGTTGTGCCGCGCTGTGTTGCGACAGTCTCCCTGGGATGCGTCCTTTTCCCAGGGCGTCGGTGAGTGAGCAGGTACTGGCAAGGTGAGGTAGTATTGATGTGAAGGTGAGGATGGAAACTTTTGGTGTCACTGGCTGCAGCGACTCGATTTAGTACCTACATACAGACAGCAGGTCGCTGCACCGACTGGCATTTGATTCGTACCTGCTTCCAGTCTGCCAGGCCCCAAAGTCCAAGGGCCCTGTCCGGCCTTAATAAAAGGCCCCCCCGCGAACTGAGGGCTTATGCTCGCTGCGGTTGTTTATGCGTGCATTTGTTGACCCGGTAACTTTTGCGCGCTAGGCCGCATCGGGGCTAACGCTGCGCTGATGTTCACGTGAGGGACATTGCAACAGTTTCACAGTGGACAGAGGGCCCTAGAAAGGGGGCTGTACCTTGCCGTGTACCCTGTGCCATTCCACCTTGGTACCTGCTCTGGCCTTACTCTGGCTGGCCCTACATACTACCTACAGGTACCTACAGAAACAGCAAACAGGGACAGGAACAGAACCAAAAAGCCTCTGCGCTCAGTGGCTGCACTCGTCCCTCGCTAGTGATAGTCCTCCGCCCTTTGTGGCCGCCACAGATATCTACTCGACAGCTTCATCTCAACCCATAGGAAGATAGTGACTCTTTAGATTGCCGTTGGCGAGCATAAAAAAAGCAAACAATTCTCATTCTATCCACGTATACTTAAATGGCTTTTATTGTCGTTTTCATAAAGTCGTTACCTAAGAACGCAACCCGTCCAATGCACCGTCTGTAGTGCTTTTATGGCGAAGAACCAGAGAAGAGAAAAAGCAAGGGTAGGTCATAAGGTCATTATCAGGACTTGCCCCGACGTCTTCTCTCATTTCCAGGAAAAAAAGCAAAACCCGCACGTCTTTCGCAGAAAAACAAAAATGCAACATCAAAGAACACAAGACATCCTCAAAAGCTAAGCAGCAAGAGAGAGAGAGGAAAAGAAAGGGTCGAGGGAGAGAAGAAAGACAAGAGGAAGAAATAGCAGAGGCCAGAGTCCACGGGAGGCAGAGATGCCTTCGTCCCCGCCGTACCTTAACCGACCGCATCTCGCCTGAGATCATTACAGGAACCCTCCATCTTTCTCCCCCCCGTGACACTCCGCCTCTCCAAGAGCCGCGGAGAGGATACCGAGAGAGGACGGAAGCCGACAACCAATGTGCCGCCCATTGCGTGCAATTAAGTTCCGCCATGCAGAAAGAAGCCGTCACTCATCAGCCATGTACATCCGTGACAGGGCATCGTAAGTAACATAGAATCGATGGCTCGTCGTGAATTCATCATCGCGTCTTTGGCCTGTTGCGCAAGCCCATGAGTCGTCTGCGGGTGCATGGAACCCCAAAAGAAGAGAGAAAGGGGGGGGGGAAACGAGACCAAGATACACGGCAAGGAATGTCGTTACATCGTTGGGAAAATGGCGGCAGATGAAGCAACAAACCAAAAACGAAAGAAAAAGAAAAGAAAAGAAAAAAGGAAGAGGAAATGGTGCCACAAAATCGCTGCAGATAAAGATTATTTCATGACGCCGCCGCTGCCCCCTCCCCACCGTGGTTGGATGACCTGAAGATGCTGCAATACCTCGAGAACATGGAACTCAGTGGAAACATTGAACTCGTCAAGGCGGGAAAAGAAAAGGGTTGGAATTACGTGTTGTGTAGTCTTCTCTACCGCCGACGGGGAGCAGCAATAGCCGAAGCAGGTCGGCTCATGGCGTCGTACGTAGGTGCGGATACTGTTGTCTCCAGCATTGTCTTTCGTCGCTTAAGGTCCAGGCTCCCCATGTCATCGCTTGAGGGGCCGCGCACGATGTCGTCGTCGTCGCCCCGTCCCCTCTTCAGGCCCGAAGCCGAGCCATTCATCACCGGCGGCTGGGGGGCGTAGCCGTTGGACATGGAGCTCGACATGTCTGCGGGCGGAGCATATACATCGTTGCCCGAAGTCCCGTTGGTCGGTGCCCGGTCACTCGTCATCACATTGTACAGGTTGCTCGTCGACTGCTGGACGCGCTGCGGCGAGTTGTACCCGCCGTGATGCTGGTAGTAGGGCTGAGGCGGCGCAGCAGTTCGAGGCGTTGCGCGTCCCGACGCAGCCGGCGGGTGGCTCTGGGAACTCGCCATCTCCGACGGCATGTTGGAGTCGTTGTTCATAGACGCCACGCCCGCCGCGTTGTAGCTGTACGGAGCGCGGGCGTGGTCGTAGGACGCACTGTCGTGGGTGTACTCAGCCTCGTGCTCGCCTTCCTCCTCGCCGTGGCTCTGGTTCTGCTGCTCAGCAGGGCCAATGCCATTGGAGCCCTTGTTGTCGGGCTGCTCGTTGGAGGAGATGGTCGCAGGCGGTCGGCTTGCGGGGGGTCCCATCTCGCTCTTTGAATACGAGGCGGCCTGGCTGTACAGGCGATCCGGGGGAGGGTTTGCCGAGTTCTGGTAAGGCGACTGTTGGGCCGAGGGTGCGCTGTACATCTGGCGCTGGCTGTCATATCCCTGAGCAGCGGGAGGGTACGACTGCATGCTCTGGATGGAACCAGGGGGCGTTGCTGCCGGGGTGTTTGGCATCGAGCGCGCGCTGCTGAGGCCACCGTCCATGCCCTGAGATCCGTTCATGCCTTGATTCGGCCAGTTGAAGCCCTCCGAGGTTGCCATGTTACCTATGACGCTCGAAGCGCTCGTGGGCGGCGTGGGGAAGGTCAGCGCCCGGTCAAGAGGAGGCCGGCTGGTGGCCGACTGCGAGGGGAGCGATTGCTGGGGGCCGGGCAGAGCCAGAGGGTGGTGCTGTCCGATGGATGGAAGCCCAGGGGGAGGCGGGTTCCGCATGGGGACGCTCTCGCGCCTTTGCCGGTCGGCAGCGGTCATGACTTGGCTCGTCCTCCCAGGATTGGCGCTGGGATGGTACAAAAGGGCACCAATGTTGTGCACGAAGAGCGGGTACAGCATCTCCGTGATCTTCTCCTTGTTGGCAAAGTCCAAGGCTCGCTCATACGGGATCCTACGAGCCATATGTTAGACGCCTACATTCGCTTGCGCTTCGTCGGGCAGCATGATTAAGAGGGGGAAAACAACATACCAAACGCCCTTGAGATGCATGGGGCCAATCTTGACGACATGCCGAACCTTTTCGCTCTTCAGGATGCCATCTCGACGGCCACGAGTCATTCCAGCAACGTTGAGCAGCTTGGTGCCGTTGATCATATGGTTGTCTAGAACCAAAGGCAAAAGTCAGCGAACATTGTCCAGCAGGCAAGGCTCGTCAAGTCGTATCCACTATACCTTCTCGCCTAGCGACGCAGATACCTCGAGCCTCGACCTGGAAGCAGAGGCTGCCTTCGTCCTCCCACAGAGTGGCGGTGACACGAGGCTTCATGCCTGGGGGCGGCTGCTGTCCCGTGGTGTCGAATCCGACGTATTGGGCCTGGCCAGCCACGCCGGGGATGGAGGGCAGGACAGTCGACGGGTTTCCCATGGTATTTGACACCGACGGAGGGGCGGCCGGGGGCGACGTCAGGCCGTTGGCGTAGCCATACTGGCTGTAAGGGGCCGGGTTGGAGTACGAAGGCCCAGGGGGCAGCAGTTGAGACTGGTGTTGCGAGTAATGCGCCAGACCGCCAGAAGTAACGGTCTGAGGGGGCGGGGGTTGCCCAGCTGACATGTGCTGTGTGTAGTACATGTCGGCACTCTGGTTCATCGCGTCGTAACTGACGATGGCGGTGGCCGGCCCCGTGATGGCTTGGGCGGGCAGCGTGGGAGACGGGGTCTTGGGGCCGTTTGACGATGAAACAGAGGTATACGACGACAGAGACCCGGTATGAGAGCTGATTGACGAGGCAATGGACCCGACTCGGGGCGACGAGGTGTTGGAAGAGTCTGCCTGGTAGGGCAGCGGCGGGAGAGACGGCAATCTGTCGCTGCTCATAAACGATGAGCGGGAAGCGGCGTGAAAGCCCAGGTAGGGGAGGTCAGAAGGCCCTCGGGTCTGCACTTGGCTGTGTGGCAAATCCAGCTTTCCGGTGTTGGCCTTGTAAGAGCAGACGAGTGAAGCAGACGAGAGCAGCGTCCCGTCAGGAGATGAACAACAGAAGAAATCAATGCGGTGGAATTCGACGCTGGCCACTCAAAGAACGCTCGCAATGACAGAGTCCAAAGCCAATCGGGAAGGACAAGACACGATTGAGGGCGGGGGAAACCGAGGATTGGCTCCAGAGGTCCAACAAGGCGTGGTAGAATCTAGCGGTGATCAAACGCTCGACAACAAACGGTGAGAAAGACGAGGCAAAAACTTTTTTTTTTCCTTTCCGGCACAGTAATGGATACTCGTAAAAGAAGAGTCTTTAGTCGTAACAAGGCATCAAGAATCAGTCGTTTCGTCTCAATCGTAACATCCGCGGCGATGTCTCCAGGTCGTTGCAGCCGGCTGGCTCTCCCAGATAGCCCACGGCGAATCTCCGAGGCAGTATCAAACGTCGGGCGATGAGGGCGGTGCAACAGGGCCACCGACGGTTCCAGGCAAATGGAAGACTCCGGGTCGAAGCGAGAGGGCCGGAGCAGCGATTGAGGGAGGAGGCTCGGCTTGGAGGGCAGGAGAGACGCTCTTGAGACGGGCCACAGCTGCGTGCAAACAACTGCAGACGTTTGTTCGCTTCCTTGTCAGGTCACCCACTACTGCAATGCAGAGCGATTAGCTGCGTTGAAGGCCGGATAAGAGAGGGAGGACGAGGACGAGGCGGGGGGATGTGAGGGAGGCAATGAGAGAAGCAACGAAAGGGAAAGGAGGAAGACGGCAGGGGAAGTCGATGTGGAAACAGAGGGAAGATGTATGTAGAA